ACCTGACGCCGCTGCCTAGAAACCCAGCTCCCCCCACGAGGGGAGAAATACCACAACTGAAGCAAAGTCAGTGTATGGGTTCAATGGCAGACTAGAGTGGACAGAGGAAAGACTCCATGTATGTGCAGACAGAAAAACAGAATTTACCCAATCTCAACACAAAGCAAGTGGCTTAGGGCTGGGGTCAGAGATTGGTGGGGATACTGCCTCAAAAGCTTATGGAACCAAAACAAAAATGCCATTAATGTCTTTGAAGAAGGAAAAAGAAGTACTTGAAGAAATGGCTGAAAACAAATTTGGTAAGAGACCTAAACATATAGATTTAAGAATCTTAGTCTCAGATGGAATAAACACAAATAAATCCAATGCTAAGACACTCACAGTCAAACTTCTGAAAACTAAAGACAAAGAAAAAAATCTTGAGAGAGGAAAACATCTTACTTATAAGGAGGAAATTTAAAAAATATATATATATTTATTTGAGAGAGAGCATGTGCGAGCAGGACAGGCAGAGGGAGAGGAAGAGGGAGAGAATCTCAAGCAGATTCCCCACTGAGCGTGGAGCCTAATGCAGGGCTCGATTCCACGACCCTGGTATCATGACCTGAGCTGAAATCAAGAGTTGGAAGCTTAACCAACTAAGCCACCCAGGCGCCCTGTAGGGGAAAAATCTGAACGACTGTAGATTTCTCATCAGAAACCATGAAGTGGCACAATGTTTTTCAAGTGCTGAAAGAAAAGAACTGTCAACTCAGAATTCAACTCCAGGGAAAATATCATCAGGAATGAAGGGGCAAATCAAGGCATCTAAATTGTTTGATGGGGGCGCCTGGGTGCCTCAGTCGGTTAAGCATCTCACTCTTGGTTTTGGCTTAGGTCATGATCTCAGGGTCATGAGACTGAGGCCTGCATGGGGCTCTGCATTCAGCACAGAGTATGCTTGAGATTCTTTCCCTCTCCCTCCCCTATACCCCTCCCTCCTGGTTATGCTCTCTCTAAAATAAATGAATAAAATCTTAAAAAAATAAATTATGTTTGATGGTTGAAGCAAAAATCACCACATTGTGTGATGTGGTTCTAAATTTAAGTGGAGGAAATATTTAAAACAATTATAAACTGGAGAAGGTAATGAGACATAAAGACAGGTGAGGTTTCTGTATTTCACTCAAATTGGTAAAATGATGACACCAACAGACTGTGATGACTTACACACACACACACACACACTGTACTATCTAGAACAACCACTAAAGCCATACAAAGAGATACATTCAAAATCAGTATAGAGCAAAATGGGATTCTAAAAGTGTTCAAGCAACCCATAGGAAGGCAGGCAAAAGAAAACACAGAGAAATGAAAACCAGAGAGAAGAACAGTAAGCCGAAAAATAAAAGGGCAGGCTTAGGCCTTAAGTTTATTAGTAATTACATTAAATATATATGATCTAAATACACTAACTAAAGATAGAGATGGGTGGGTACAGTGGATTAAAAAACATGACCCAACTATATGCTGTTGATAAGCAATCTACTTACATATAAGGGTGTAGGTGTATTGACAGTTAAAGGATGGAAAAAGGTGTATCATGCAAACATTAATTAGAAAAAAAGAGTAGGAGTGACTACACTAATGTCAGATAAAGTAGATGTTGGAGTAAAGAAAATTACTGGCAAGAAGAATGGGATAAAAAATAAACATTCAAAAATCAGTTTCAATTTCTATATAATAGCAATAAATTCATGGACACCAAAATTAAAAGTATGATATAAATTTATAATTGCTTTAAAAAAGGAAATACTTGGGTATAATTCTAGCCATCACATATAAGAACTTGTAAAACTATAAAATGCTGATGAAAAAAAATCAAAGATCTACAGAAATGGAGAACCATATTGTATTCATGGGAGTCTCAACATAGTGAAGATACCAATTTTCCCCAAATTGATAAACAAATTTAATGCAATGCCTATAAAAATCTGAGTAAGATATATTTAGATGTAGACAAGACTATTTTAAAATTTATATGGAAATGCAAAGGAACTAGAATAGCTAAAACCAATTTTGAAAAGGAAAAATAAGGTGGGAGGAGCAGTGTAGTCTACCTGATTTCAAGACTTCCTGCACAGCTACAGTAATCGAGACTGTGTGGTAATGGTGAGAAAGAGAATTAGATCAACAGAATAGAGAACCCAGAAAAAACTCACATAAACAGGACCGACTGATTTTTCACAAAATCACAAAAGAGTAGCCTTTCCAACAAATGGTGCTGGAAAAAAAAAATTGGTCTTCAATCTGCAAAATGTGAACAAAAACAAGAAAACAAGAAGGCAAAAAATACCCCAAAAAACCTTCAACCTAAATTTTATACCTAATACAAAAATTAACTCAAAATGGATCATGGGCTTAAATGTAAAATATAAAACTTAAAACGTTTAGGGGAAAAAAAAAAAACGCTTAGGTTAAAAAAGTTCACTCTGGGGTTAGGTAAAAAAAAAAAAAGTTCTTTGATTTGACACCAACAAGCTTGATCCACAAAAAAAGAATTAATAGGACTTCATCAAAATTAAAATATATTTCTCTGTGAAAGATCCTGTTAAGAAGATGAAATGGGAGAAAATATTTGCATGCCACATCTCTGACAAAGGACTAGTATCTAGAATGTATAAAGAATTCTTAAAACCCATTTAATGAGAAAATGGGTAAAAGACATGAAGGGATGTTTTATGGAACAGAGTAAGCAGATGGCAAATAAGTACATGGAAAGATGTGCAAAATCATTAACTATGAGGGAAATAAAACTTAAAACCACAATAACATCACTATACACTTGTCAGAATGGCTAAATAAAAAAATAGTGACAAAACCAAATGCTGGCAGAGTTGAAGAAACCGGATTACTCAGACTTTGCCAGTGGAAATGTAAAATGCTAGTCTGGAGACGTTTGGCTATCCCTTAAAAAATGAAATTTGTAACTGCCATGTGATCTTCCAATTGTCTGACATTCCAGAGAAACAGAGACTTATGTTCATACAAAAATCTGCACACAAATGTTCTTAGAAGTATTTGTAATAGCCAAAAGCCAGCAAAAATCCAGATGTCCTTCCGTGGGCGAACAGCTAAGCTATGGTACATCCGTGCCATTGGAATACTACTCAGTAATAAAAAGGAAAACTATTGATATATACCAGAACCTGGATGAATTTCCACAGAATCATGCTCAGCTAAAAAATCCATCTCAAATGGTTACATACTGTATGATTCCATTTATTTAAAGTTCTCGAAATGACAAAATTATAGAAACAGAGAACAGAGTAGTAGTTGACAGGGATTAAGGGAGGGTTAAGGAGGGGGTGGGCATGGCTACAAAGGGGCTGGGGGGATTCTGGCAGCAATGGGATGCCCTGCATCCTGACTGCATCAATGTCAATATCCTGGTTGTGATATATGGTATGTTTTCAAGACATTATCACAGGGGAGAACAGGGGAAAGGGGACATCCCCTACCACTGCTTGTACATCTACAGTGATCTCACAATAAAGTTTAGCTTGATTTTAAAAAGTACATTCTGTATGATTCTACTTATATGAATTCAAAGCATGATCCTAACCTAAGCATGATCGAAATCAGAACAGCAATCACCCTTGGCAGGAAAGGGGCATGAGGAATCTGGGGGATAATGGAAATGTTTTGCATTTTGTTTTGGGCAGGGATCACAAATTCATGTCTCAGAAACGTACATTTGAAAGGATCTCTCCTTCCCAAGATTTAAGATGGTCTAATATCCTTGGATTAAGATAGTCCCATCGTGTGTTCTGCTGAAATACTGATTCTTCTTCCCTTTAGAGCTAAAAGGAATCCCTGAGTTTTAAAGAATTTATAAATGGTGGGGCGCCTGGGTGGCTCAGTTGTTAAGCGTCTGCCTTCGGCTCAGGTCATGATCTCCAGGTCCTGGAATCGAGCCCCGCATCAGGCTCCCTGCTCAGTGGGAAGCCTGCTTCTCCCTCTCCCTCTCCCGCTGCTTGTGTTCCCTCTCTCACTCTGTCAAATAAGTAAATAAAATCTTAAAAAAAAGAATTCATAAATGGTAACATGCAGAATACAAAGCATCATGATTTTTGAGGAATAAAAATTTAGCTAAGTGATCACGATAGGCCATTTTTCACTTGGGAGAATGTTTTGCCAGTCCTACAGGCATAACGACTTCATTCAGCAAGTGTCCAATGACAAGAAAAGTCACGCAGACAGACCCCTTGCCCCACTCTTGCTATTGGGGTCTGCGCTGTGGTGGGCAGGCCACTCCCTCTGGGGCCCAGCCCTGTGTTTCTGGCCCTCTGGAGCCTCCCAAACCCTGGGCGTCGCTGAGACCGAGGCGGGACCCATCTCTGGGAGGGTGAGCTTCTCGTGCCCTCTGACTTAGGGACTCAGCGCAAACGTTGTCCTTGCCCACCAGTCCTACCTTCAGGATGTCGGCAAACAGAGGAATAATAAAGCCTGTTCTACCAGTGCCCTAGGACCCCACAGCTCCCGGGGCGGGTGCTGAGGGCCCGCCACCCCTGGGAGGTCTCTGCAGGTGCATATCGCAGGTCTGCTCGTAACACCGATGCTTGAACCCAAGTGCTTCATGGTCTTTGATCCACCTGGATGTTAAGCTTGCTTTTCTGTGGCCAGAGGCAACAGCTCTTCCCTTTGCTCTGATTCGTGTGTCCATCAAGAAGTGGGGTACCTCAGAGATTCTAACCAGGACGAGGTGCAGCCCCACCGTAAGCAGCTGAAATCTGGTTTATGCACCCGTGTCTTTGGAGTCTGGGTTCTGGGAACTAATCTGCAGGCACCTGACCAACTCCCGTTTCTGGCCTTGTACAGTGGATTCCCACTCCGGAACATTCTCCCCTCCAACTCCCCGCCAGACCTAGGAGAGGCCAGTCTTTCCGTCTCCCTCAGTGATGTCTCTCTTTTCGATTCCACAGTGATCACTTTAAATAAAAGGCCTAACGCAAAAATCAGGCAAATATGTTTAATTTTTTAAAATAACTGATGGCAAAATAAAATATTTACATCACATCATACTGTGTAAACATGTAAGGTCTCTGTACAAAGAAATATACATGCAAAATAATGTAAAAATTTAACTGAAATAATAAAAGAAACAATACACAAATGAACGTTGTGAGGTTACGAATACACATCCAGTTTTGAATCCAATTTCTTTTAAAAAGTTTCTGTACAATTTTACAAGAAACAAACAAAAACCCAACAAAAGAATAAATAAAATACATTGGAAGCGGCAGAGCTTCACTACGCCGGTTTATGGCTCAAGCCCCAGGTGTCTGGCCGGCTGGGGATGCGGGCTGGTCTCCCTGTTAGTGTGTCTCACACCACGAGGGTAGAAAGACACCCCGCAACACTCAAGCGTGCCCAGAAACCCCGCGGCGTGCTCCCGGGCCTCCCCACCCGGCGTGAATTCTGCCAGCGACGCAGGCGTCGAGTGGCAGCCGCAGGGCGGCTAGTGCGTCGTTGGCTTTCCTTTCGTACCCAAAGCTCAGAATCCAGCCAATTTTTGTACAGAAAGTTGCACGTCAAAAAGTCTAAAAAGTAGTAAATGTCCAGACTGATTTTGGGAAGAAAAATAATACTTTGGCATTCTGAATAATAGCGTAGTAAATTTTAAAACATTGCCCTATTATCCAGTTTTGTATTCAGAGTATGAAATCACTTTTTACAGTCCTCAAAACTGACAAATTCCACGAAGAGTTCAGTCTCCTTGAACTGATAGCACAGGGCTACAACCCCCGCCCCCCCGCCCCCCCCGACACACGCACAAAACCATAAAGCTCACTGTACGAAGTATGTGCTTTTTCTATGTATTTATTACAGGTACAACAGAGGTCTTCATAAATAGTTGCATAAAATGTTAAAGCCACAACATTGCACATGATATGAAATAAAACCAAAAAAACCCCAATGAGTGCATTTACAGTATTTTCATCTGACTGTATACTGCTCAACAATCTGATTGACGGCTGGGGGGTGGGTGGGAGCACAGGGAGGCCACCCCTAGGGCTCGGGGTGGGACCCAACTTGATGTCCTCGGTGGATGGGCAGAGCCCTCTGACCTCCCCCTGATGAAGCCCTGGGCCGCGGGTGGGGAGCAGGAGGGGAAAGGACAGACCGAAGGCAGGACCAGTCTTATATACAAGTAAGGCCTACATTTCATCAGAGCAGAACGATTCATTCTATTTTTATGCAAAAGTCTGAGGTTGAATGCACGTTTCAGGAGCCCAGTCTGGCGTCCCCGTGAGACGCACGCAGACCCGGCAGCTGGAAGAGCTCAGAGCCAGGCGGACCCTGAGCTCTGGACGAGGCCGCGGGGATGGCCACCGCGAGGGTGAGTCCTCCCCAGAGGGGTCCAGTATCTCTGTTTTGTTCGTGAAGACCAGTGGTTGAACATCGGCATTTCGTTTCCTTGAATAAATCCTGGAAAATGTTAAATTTGCAAAATTCTATTCATGTTCATTTAAAAAAGTTTCTTTTTATTTTTTGCAGAAACCTGAATAAAAGACTGTGGTACAGCAATGCTGTGTCCGCTCACGAAGAGTGTACAAGAAGGTCCTCCACCCCAGCACAGCGTGCTCCCGAGTCCCAGGCACTGCCGAGCTCAGCTCACTCGGAGCCCCAAGTCACACGATGAACATACGGCAGCTGATCAGTTCTGTTGGTGTGTGTTTCTCTTCAAAATTCAAATTAACAGCTGATTGGCAGGTGAAAGAGAATGAGAAAGAACTTCAAGATAGGTCAAACTCTAGGCAAAAGCCTGCTCTGTAAGAAGTTTTGAACGCCACGGATAGGTCGAACATCGTTCTGGTGTTTGCGCCGCTCAATGAAGGACGTCAGTCTGGACGTGTCGAGGACGCCCGCCCCCTTGCCACTGCCGTGGCCCGCCTGCAGCCACTGCTCCTGGAGGGCTAGTGCAGCCGAGGGACGCCTGGCAGGGTCCTCTTGCAGGAGGGAACACACGAACTCCTTGGCCTTCTGGCTCACTCCTTTAAAGCAGTCCTCTGGGAAACTAAAGTCTAGTCGGCAAATGTTCAGGCAGGTCTCCTCCACGCTGTCGTCGAGGAAGGGGGACACGCCGCTGAGAAGCACATATGTGAGCACTCCGACACTCCATGTATCCGAGGTCAGGGAGATGGGGTTCCCAAGGATGATTTCGGGGGCTGCGAACTCGGGGTTCCCCAATAACTGGTGGATGTAGTAGGTCGTGTTGAGTTGGACAGCATCTCCAAAATCAGCCAGTTTAATCGTTGGCTTGGCCAAACTCTGATCCACCAGAATGTTTTCAGGCTAGAAGACAGGATAAGACAACGGTCATTTCCATCGATCCCCATCTCAAGCTTACTTGGGATGCTCACCAGGAATCGACGAAGTCGACTGGAAGAAACCGTTCCAACGCAAGAAGGGATGCAGTTCTGAGCACGCAGGCCCACGGAGGAGAAGGCAGCACCAACACAGAGGGAACGCCGCCCCCTCCCCGCAGACAGCTCTCCTGGTAAGTGAGCATGAAGGCGCCATGCCGAAGAACGCTGCCTTAGCAAGCTGGGTGTTCGTCTTCACGCCCAGCACTAACAGTAATATTCACCTTCCTTTCTCAGCTACCACTGACCCAGTCCCACACCAGCCTTGCAAAGCTCTCAGGAACTTTCTGGAACCTCATGAAATGTGTGAAGATCTCAAATGTTTATCTAGTACTTCACTGACTTTGTATCATTGAGAGCAAAACCTTAAAAACAGAGATTAGAAATCAGGGTTCCCGTTACCCACCTCCTCCTGCTTGTCCCTGGTCCCCCCAGGCCTCCTGCAGTGGACACGTTGGGAGGAGGCCCCCACGTGCCAGGTGGCTGGGCCTCGGTCAGACATGATGGCTTTGGCCCCAGGGGCCCCACTCGCCTTTAGGTCCAGGTGTGCTATCCTGCAGTTGTGAAGGTATCGGACGGCTTCCAGAACCTCCCCCAGATACGCCCTGATCTTCCCTTCGGTGAGGTTTCCCCATCGCACCACACAGTCCAGGAGACGCCCCTGGTCAGCCCTGCGGAGGCAAGAACGTGGGCAACACTTATCATGGTGCTGGGTCACTTTAGAGGAAACAAAGAGCTTGTCTGTGCCCACTGTTAATGTCCTACCAGTCTGGTGTTTCAGGAGCACAGCTCCACCTCCAGGCACGACTCTATCAAGAGGGTGATTTCTTTTCAACCTCGTTATGGATGCGAGTGGGGAACAAGGGCGCCCAGCCCTCAGAGGGAGCGGGGAAGGGGAGGGGAGCACGAGCTCCCGCCCAGCAGGCTCGCACGTGAGCCCGGCCTCTCGGATGCTGAGGGGATGCAAGCCATCCGGCCACGGTGGGCACTCGGCAGGTGCTCTGCAGGCATCTGCTGTAGGCTGCAACGAAGTGATACACCTCCCCAAGCCTTCGTTTTGTCATCTGTAAGATGGGCAAGGGGAAGGCCACACGAGCTAATATAAGTAAAGAGGCAGACCTCGAGGTGTGCTGAGAAAACAGCCAGCATGACAGGCTGCCCCCTGCACCCCCCCGCCCCCGTTCCTGCTGCGCTTTTCCTGGGTGCCTTTGAAAACAACACTCAGAGGTGAGCCGTGACACTTAGTGACCTCTGCCCAGCCACCTCATAACATCGCTGCCCCTGCTCTCACTCGTGACCTGGGATGGAGGGCTGCCCTTCCGCCAGCTCGCTGTCCCCAGTTTCGGGATCTGTAATCTGAAACTGTGCCTTCCATCAAAATGCCCCCAGAGTTCCCATTTCCCTGAAGTGGGAGCAGGGATGCTGAAGGAACGACCGGCCGACCCGCACCTCTGGTTTCATGCTGCACTCAGAAGGCTTCCTACTACGGTGAATTACTTTGATATTGAAAAACCATGGATGCAGCGCTGCCCATGGGCCAGGGACTAAAGGCTTACTGTCAATTCACTAAATCCTCACGCCAACCTTCCCAAGGTCATACAGCTCGCCAGGGAAGGCCAGACCTGCAGTGAGGTGGTCTGGCCCAGGCTCTCGGGGCACCTCGCTCGCTCCCCGCTCTGTCTGCACAACAGACACTTAATGGAAAACCAGCCACTTGCCCGGTAACAACGGGTAATCGAGGAGACCTTGGTAGTAATCTGTTAGGAAAATAAATCCTAGTAACAGTACGGCGAGACCAAACCATTCAGTTTTCTACTAAAAAGAAACGACAGCCGAACACACTTAAATTTTAAGCCAGAAATGGAAGTCTTGTTGATTTTTGATGAGGACTTTAAGATAGTTCTCGCTAAAAAAATTCCCAGATGAGCAGAAGCTCTTGGACACCCAGCATCTCCAGCCAGAATAGGATAGAATTTAACAACAGCTAAAGGCCAAGATATTTCAGAGAGGGTGGGCTTCCCAGCCCTGGTACTGCTAACACTGGGGGACAGCGGAGTGTCTGCCGCGGGGCCGTCTGGGCTCTGCGGGATGATGAGCAGCATCCCTGGCCTCTACCCTCTAGATGCCAGTGGCATCCCCAACCCAAGCTGTGACGGCCAAAAAAGTCTCCAGACATGGCCGTAATGTCCCCTGGGGGGCAAAACTGCCCCCAACGGAGGACCACTGCTCTTCGGTCAGTTTTCACACTCTCTCCTTAGATGACTATGCCATTTACTGGGGTGGTGCACAGAGCTCACTGAACACCATGGGACTGGGGGCTCCTCTGGCCATGGAGGCCCACCTGCTTTCCCAAGGACGTCCTCTAGGGGAGGTGCATCTCACTCTCCCATTCTGACCACCCTGTGGTGGGCCGGAGCTCTAGCAGGCAGGACTGCAGGCCCAAAGCAGCGGCCAGGAGCAAGATCTTAGGGGGCCCACTCAGCACTCACGAGGCTCCCCGGGCCCCCAGCAGCCGTGTGGTCACTAGCAGGGGCAGGAGTCTTCAGAGGCCTGGCCCCTTGGGGATCCTGGCAAGCAGGTGGCACCTCCAGGTTGGCTGAGACCCAGAGGGAACCTGGGTGGTGCTGAGGTGCTTTGATGCTAAGCTCGTTGCTCCCTCATTTGGACAGCATGTGCTAAAGACTATACTTCTTTCTACCATTACTGGAAAGCTCTAGAACTGTGGTCTCTGACAGCAGGCGCACACACACCCCCACACACACGCATTACAAGTTGTATGGATCCTGAAATCCTGATTTCTGTCCTTCTTAGAGAACAAACAACAGTAAAATCACTTTAAGTTGAGGCTGAGGCTTACGAACTGGGGAGAGCAGTACGCACATTTCTAACACCAGGACGTAGCTGGTGGGGGTCTCGAAGGTATCAAGGAGGCCAACAAGCAGCGGGTGCTGGAGGTTCTGCAGGATTCCAAGCTCATGGGTGACCTGGTCACGTTTCATCAGCTTCTTGTTCACAAACTTAGTGGCCACTGCTCGTTTGGTTCCTTTCTGATCACATTTCTTAACGACAGAGAATCTGCCCCTGGAAAACAGGTCGAGAAGATCATTTTCAGAGGACTCTTGAGTACGTCACGGAGAAAAGACTCTGTTAACCTAAATGGACTGGAGGCCTGTCCGCAGGCTCTGCTCTCCCTGGCCACTCGTGGAGGGGCCGTGGCTCGCAACGACCCGGGGAAGCTGGCCAGTCTCCGAGCCCCTCAGCCATGGGATGCCCTGGGCCTGGCTGCCCCTTCTGGAAAGAACCGGCCCCTCTCTCTGTTTGGGCAGGAGGACCCTGCCACTCCAACCTACATCTCCAATCTGAAGAACACATTCAGCCTTTCTCAACTGGGACTCCACAGGAGAAAATTAAGGTCCACAAAAAAGGGTCTGAGCGACACTCCTCTGACTTCTCCCAAGGACAGCACACAACTAGTGTGGTCCCATAGGCACAGAAGAGGAGTTAAGTCATTACATCAATGGATGGCTTATGGCATTACGCCTCAATTCTCTCTTGGAACCCAAGCTGAAAACATCCTCTTTACTCCCTCAATGTTTTTTTTTTTTTTTTTTTTTTTTAAAGATTTTATTTATTTGAGAGCGAGCGAGAGAGAGAATGAGAACACGAGAGGGGATAAGGTCAGAGGGAGAAGCAGACTCCCTGCTGAGCAGGGAGCCCGATGTGGGACTCGATCCCGGGACTCCAGGATCATGACCTGAGCCGAAGGCAGTCGCTTAACCAACTGAGCCACCCAGGCACCCATACTCCCTCAATGTTTAGTATCAAAAGGCAATTACACATTTCATTTCAAATATAATTCATATAACTTCCAACTGGTGGCAAAATTCACCACTAATCTTATCTACTCTTACAGACAGTTATGTCACACACTTGCTCTCTCGGAAGGGGCTCTGGGTTTTATATCATACCTGCCAAGCTCAGCCACTTCACTGTAGAAGGAGTCAAAGTTGTCTTTCCAGGTCACCATGATCCCATCACTCCCTGGACCTGCAAGAAGAGCAGCATCTCCCCTGAGCTTGGTTTATGTGCGCTTCTTGGGGAAGAAGTCTATAGGCCTGCGCTGTCCAATATGGCAGCCACACGCGGCTACTGAGCATCTGAACTGTGGCTCACCGGACTGAAGATGTGCTGGAAGCGTAAAATACACACTGCAGGTTGGGACTCAGGATGAAAAGAGATGGATTTACGTGACAGAAATAAACACACACTTCCTTTCCCATTATTTCCCCACTCGTATCTCCAAGGTGGAGTCTTCTATCTCCCTAAGCTCCTTTAGCTTCTGTAACTGATTTATTATAAAGCAAAAATCACCCCGTATAGTTTCTATGATGTCTTTTACAAATGAGAACACTGGCGATTCTTCACTTTCAAATTCAGGATTCTCTTTCTTCCTTGTGTCATGATCCAAGAATCAGATCATTTCCTTTCTCTGGTATAATGAGGTTAAAATATCTGGGATGAAGATACATGGGATAAAAATGCTAAGACAATTCTATTCATTGTCTACACACAGGGCGGGCGCTCCTGGACTCAATGCACCTTTTAGTTCAGATTCTTATTCTTGTTCTTGGAAGCAGTTTCCTAGACCTGGTGCAGCTGAAGAATGCATGGGAAACGTCAGCAGCCCTGTACTGCACAGCTGGCCTTCTGTGAAGCCCGAGCTGCAAACCAACTGGTATGTGCTGCCTACTGAGCAATGGTCAGTGCAACCAGAGGAGATTTAAAAGGGCCTAGGATGTGGGTTCTGCCTCTGGGAGCTCAGGGTCTGGCTGAGGAGAGACAACAAGGCCGTGCTGGGCCATGGAGAGAGCAAGGGCTTCAGACGGGAGCAACGCAGGTCCCACCGTGGTTGCCCTGCGTTCCCAGGAGGGACACTGTCTCAGTGAAGCACAGAGCCTGCATAGGCCTCAGCCACGCTCCTTCCTCTCCTCCCACAGCCTACGCGAGACCAACTTAGAGGAGATTCTCTCAGAGCCAAAGTGTCAACTGAGCAATTGAGTAAGAGAAGTCAGATACAAGAATGTGTTTTGAGCACTACGAGCATGAGACGTACCGTGTTCCAACCCAGAGGCCGGCACTGGATGCTCGGCTGCCCAGGGGCTGGGTCAGGGGCCTGCACTATGCACCTCCCCGAAGACATGAGCGGGGCAGGAGGTCACCCGCCCCGGGACACCCTAGACACTGTGGTCTGCCGCTTGCAGCTCTCGTTGGGAAGGCCCCACACTGACTTATTGCCAAATATTTTAGACCTTCCTGAGTGTGTATGTGCAGGGGCAGGGTCTCTCTGGACCCGCGAGTCCCAGAAGATGCGCGCCCCCTGCTCAGGGGTGCCACTTACCCAGCACCCTCAGACTGGCTGAAGACGAGGCTGAACCCATGTCGTTCACGGCGATGCACGTGTAGATGCCATCATCTTCTGTGGTCACGCCGACAATCTTCAGAGTGGCCTCTCCCAAGTCACTGCCACACAGATGACAACTCATTGTGGGTCACAAAGGCGCAGCTCCCCCAGTGACCGCCCCTACCCTCTCTCCTTTGGGGTCACAGAAAATGACAGAGGAAGTACTGACAAGGAACTTCAAGTGGAATTTTAATTTTTATTGCACACCTCGGTATGAAATGCTCCCTTGTGGGTGACGTCAGGGTGCCGAGGGTAACCGAGGGGGTTGATTGTGTTGGTCACAGTTGACGGAGGTCACGCTCACTGCCAGCAAAACCCAGCCTCACCTGTAGGAGATGCTGTAGTGACCGTCGTTGTTCAAGGTGTTGTGTTCAGGGCCCTTCCAGGTGATCGAGGCCTTGGGGCGGCCACAAACTCGACATCTAAGAACAACGGTCTCCCCTGTCTCACACGTGACCTCACTCAAGGGAATGACGAATTCTGGGGGAACTGCAGGAGAAAGGAGTCAGGGATACCTGTCACCCTTGGCTCCTTTCCCACACCCACCAATCCTAACAAGAATGAGACCCAAATTGCCGCCCATGCCCCAGCGCTCCAGAAAACCCACTCTCCAGGTTACACCCCAGCGTTCTACAATGTGCCCCATGGACCCTACACTCTGCAAAACCAGAGGAACAAGATAACAACTCACCGTCATATATGTAGTTGGGATTGAGAAGCTGAAACGGAAAAAGCACATAGATGTTAACCAGAAACATGAACTGTTTTGTGGTATGTTACTTTTATTCCCAGGCTACAAGTATCACTGAAGGATGAACAAGAATACAACTTGGGTCTCAAAACAGAGCACATTTTCATTGCCTTTACATGTACTCAAAAAGCCTCATGTCACAAATTTCAGTGAATTTTTGTCTTCCTACCCACCAACACAAAAGAGCCTCTTGAACTCAGAAATGCCCATTTTTCTCATCCAACAGGCCGGGTTCGGCCGGTCCCTGGGCCCCTTACTTCTGAAGAGCTGCCAGTGCCCTGACCAGAGCCCATGCCCTCCCTTTAGGGGAGATTTCCTTTCTCTGCAGGCAACCACCGCCCAGCTAGGTTTAGGGCAATCTGATCACGGGAGTAAAGCTGACTGAAGCAACCCCCAAGGGAATGCGCCAAAGCTGGTGAACCTGTGTCTCGGGCCCCTCTAGTCCCTTCCCAGCGGTGTGCGGCGGGCCCTGGGGAAGCCCGTAACACAGCTACCTGACACCGTGTACTAGGAGAACCTGGCCTCTGCTTCCCCAGCGCAGCCAGCAGCGTCCTTTGGAAGCTACCCGAGCGCCTGGTCAGGGCGCGCCCCGGCGCCGTGCGGGGCGCATGTGCACCTGTGCCGGGAGCACGGTCCCCGCGAGCGCTCTACGAAGCCCCGCAGGAGCTGCGCCCAAGGCAGCGGGAGGGGATGCGGGAGGGGATGCGGGAGGCAGATGGCGGCAAGTGAGGCCAGGAGCCAGGCCCGCAACCCCTCCTGGGCCGCCCCCGGCCCCGCTGCTGCCCCGGGAATGAATGAATGAATGCCGCAGGCTCCTGGAGACGCGCATACGCACCTTCACAGATACCTTGTTGCTGAGCCCCTCCCGCGACTTCCGATAACCGTTCTCTAACTTGCCTTCCCGCTTGCCGTCTTTATCTTTTTTCTCAGATTTTTTCCTTAAACGGAGTGCTGTGTGCCAAGATGTTGACTTCCTAGGGGGAAAATAACACGTTGGTAGTGTTACAGCTTTCTAGTGTTCAGCAAGTGATTCCTGAAAGCCTTAGAGAAAGGCTGAGTAGCCCACTTAGGGGATTTGGGGTGACGGAGGCTCCCTGAGCTCTGCTGAGGGAAACGCACCTGTGAGGCTCAACAACCAGAGGGGAAACCAAGAAGCTCTTCACTTTTGAGGATTAAAATACAAAAGTGCTGGTAATGGTCAATTTTATGTATCAACTTAACTGGGCCGCTGGGTGCCCAGAAATGTGATCACACGTTGTTCTGGGTGTTTCTGGATAAGATTAACATTTTAATTAGTAGAGTAAAACACACTGCCCTCCACAACGTGGGAGGCCCCCTCCAATCAACTGAAGGCCTTAGTAAAAAGACGGGCTTCCCTGAGCAAGAGGGAATTCTCTAGTAGAATGGGTCCCCAGCCTGCCAGCCCACACTGCACATTTGGACCTCCTAGTCTCCATAACTGTATGAGCCAATTCCTTTTATTACCTGCTTCCTCCCTGGAACGAACGAACACACACACACACACACTCCTATTGGTTCTGTTTCTTTGGAGAACCCTAATACAAGGACTAAGAACACTCTTTGATAAAATGAAGTACAAAATGGGAATCTTGAACATTGTACTAGAATAAAACATTTCTGCATATCAAGGAGAAACAGGACAAGGGGGTTATCATGGAGGAGAGGCTCTCTGTAGCCTGAACTCAAGCCCAACTTTCCCGGCAGCTGCGAGCTCCAAGCCCAGAGGTGCAGGGTGCTGCTGGGATGCTGGCCAGCCTGCACTGCGAACCCAGCTGAGGGTCCTCCATGCTTGGAGAGAAGCACGACCACTGTCACTGCCTTTGGGTCCGCTGGTGTGGGCTGAGGCCTTTGGAGGCTTCAGAAATCACCAAGGCCTGTAGTGCTTCCACTCCCAGAAACCACTGGGCTGATCTCTACCACAGCCAAACACATTCAGGGAAGGGCACAGTTTTAAACCAGCACCCAAATTCAGTTTTCTTGTTAAAAAAACTGTTTAATACAGCAAAACTGGTCATTTCCTAACTGAATTAACCTTCTAGTATACGCGAGGCGTAATGGCAATGGCATCACACAGATGTTCACCTGCAGCTCACAGAATGAGCACCTGCCCAGACGCACCCTCAGCATAGCCGGCTAAGGAGTCAGAGGTCCCTGGGGAGTCCTTAGCCCTGACCCGAGACCTTGGAGATGATAATATCATTGTAAATAACCTAGTGGCTTAAAAAAGCTCTGTGTTTGCACATGCAGGTTATTAAAAGAACCTGCCAGAACGAGTCTGAGAGACGAAGGGCCACCCCATCCTCACTTTGGGGCTCCACACTGTGCTCAGAGACGACTCGCACTGACAGGCAATGGCGCAGCTCTCTCTCGCTGGGCCTCCTTCCTCCTCCCAGGGCCTCTAGGCCCCTGGCCCCTTGGCTGGCCTGCCGGGTGGGCACTCACTTGAGAGTCCCATCGGGGTTCTCCATGATGACTGCACTGGTATGCCCCAGGACGAAGCCTGGAATCCAGCCCTCGGCTGCGGGGCACTGGTCAGTGGCGGCTCGGAACACCAGAAACATGTTCTGTTGATTGCTGGCCAGAATTTGAACGACCTCTCCTTGATAGACGTTTATCTCATCCTCCTTCACTGCCGTGTAATCGTGTGTCACCAACATGGTGGAGATGTTGCTACTGCTGCTACTTTCACTCTGGAGCGGGAGAGATGGAAAAAAGGCAGAGGGGAACTGAAACGAGATCTGATGTCATGAGCTCGCTCATCGGCGTGTGGCCGCAGCGTGATGACCCAGAGCAGGGCTCACCAGACAGGCCCGGAGGCACCTGCCCTCCTCTGCCACTCTCTCTTTAGCTAACTTTGTGCCTTTTTTTTTTTTTGGATAATTAAAAATCAGGATTTCTCTAGAAAGCAATGCAAGCAACAATCTAAATTCAGTCACCGCAATGATGACACTTTGCTTTCGGGAGCTTGGTTACTGTTTCAACCCCATCTTCCTTGCACCCTCAGAGAACAGCTCAGTCCTCCTGTTGATGCCATGCTGCCTTATATCTATGTCCCTGTGACCATCATGCTCATTTAAAAAAGTATTATTAAATTAAACGGACACAGAGAGTAAGTAGCTCTTCAGCTCACTGACACATTAGATCATGGAATGGCCCCAAATCTGCCAAAGAAAATGTTCATGGAGAACACATATCCAAGGATCATGACAAGCTGCTGACATGCCTGATCATTTTCACCTCTTTTTCCTTCTAAAAGAATGAGGAATACCTGGAAAGAAAACCAACTGCTGTTCTGCTCTCAGGGATAGTTAGTCTGCCTCCTTTATGTGGCCCTCAGTGAGTGGCCCTGAACTTGCAGGACTCAGCTGCCCTGAAGATGCACGGGGACACACAGACTATCTAGCACCGCAGAGTGGCTGTGGACACCGCTGGCACCACAGGTCAACCTCCGGGAACAGCCCTTGGCGTGAGAAAACCTACTCTCCTCTGGGGTCCTAGCAGGACCCAGTCTCTGTTCACTGTGTGTCTCTAAGGTCCACCACAGCGACGGACATGTAGCAGACACTCAATACATATTCAGTGACTCGACGACGCAAGATTGCAAGAGTAAAACAGAGATCGTTTCTTAAGGCCACCTACCTAGGCCCACAAGCTGAGCGGTGTCAGCTGCTGAGTAGAAGAAACACAAATGGCAGTATTTGTCCCAAGCTGTCATTTACCAAGTGACCCTTTTGTTCCAGGGGAGGAGGAGGAAGCTGACACCACTGTCACCTCCTGGCTACATCTTGCTCAATCCTATCCAACAGGCGGGATGTGGGAAAGGGCGTCACGCCCCCTGCTCCTGGTAGCTTGTTCTCAGAGGTTTCCACCAACGATGTTGTCTAGATGCTCACGGATCCCCCTGACTCCGATGACACTTAGCCTCTGCTGGGCTCTCGGCTGCCCGGGGCAGGTCCCAGGTGGTATAGTTGCAACCGTCAGACAACCCTGCCCCATGCCTGTCAGCCCTGGGCTACTGAGCTTGTGTCGGGATATGCTGGAGCGGACGGGCTCGTTGCCGTTAACAAGCCAGCGTGCCGAGAATTCCGGGGTGCGGGGCTAGGACTCTTGACCCACAGTGGGTATTTAAATTAAACACAGCAGAGTGCCAAGCTCCGGTTCTGTCTCAGCTGAGAGTCTGTTGCGGATTCCTGCCTCTTGTGGATCCCCCCATACTGTCCACGTCAGGCTACGTACGGCCTGTGCATATTCATTTATGCCACTTTATTCTTCTAGCGTGTACTTTATTCTGACTTATATAGCAATACCCAATAGTTTTGAGATCACAAAGCCAAATTTGGTAGGAAATGCAAACAAAAAGCAACTTAGGCAGCACAGCTGCTTTTGGCCAGAGCATCCCAAGCTTGTCTCGTGATTTTGCCACAATAATTGCTCTTAGTATTTTCTCAACACTCCCTATGCACCAGGCTAAGGATCAGGCATTTAAAATCCATCTCACTTAGTGCTCGAAGCTGCCTTCCCGGCTGGCACAACCATCACCCCCTTACAGAATGAGGGGTTGGGCATGCACACGGGCCACCTGGCCTCGGAGACTAAGGCAGGGTTGCACTTCTATTGCTGCCAGGTGGGCACGTGCAGAGAGATTGTGCGTCCACATTTGGAGGCTGGCACAGTCACCATCTGGGTTGGTCCACATCCACTCCATTCCTGCTCTCAGCAGAACTTTCCAGAAGGTGCCCATGAAAGGAGGAAGAAGGCTCATGGGTTAGGCACAGCTGCTTGGCTGTGACTGCAGACCGCTCCGTGGAAGTAGTCAAGGAGGAAGGTGGCCACTGCTGACCCACCAGGACGATAAGATGGCCCAAATGGGTAGAAATGGGGCAGGAAGACAGTTCCTTTTAACCAGAGCACTTCAGAGTCCTAGAGGACATGTTCACATCCCCATTCAGGCCTCTAGTGGTCTTCCCAGCCTTCCAGGGCATTTCTGTAAGGCACTCTGACTCATCTAAAACACTGGCAACGTCCCTTTCCAGGTTACCTACCACCTAAGAAAAAGTGAGAGGCAACTTTTGCAGCCTCAAGCCGGAACATACAGCACACGCGACTGTGCCTCTGTCTGAGGACATCCTGGGAGGGAGCCGGGTGGTGACGGTTATGTGTGTGTGTGCTCCCGGGCGGCCCGGAGACCAGCACGGGCGTCTGCTTTGGAACAGCTGAGGTTCGTTCTGAAGCACAGACTCTGAGCGCTCCCCGTCTGCCTAAGGGGAGTGTCCAGGATGCGCAGCTCGGGGAGCTGCCCCCAGGCCCAATTCCCCAATTCACAGGGGTCTCAGCTGTAAGGCCATGCCCACCTCCTGAGCATTCAACCAGATGTGGGCAGGCATGGCATCCCTGTGGCGCTCTGCCTCTTTTCCTCTGGCTGAAGTTGCTCACCTGCATTCCTAGCATTTCAGACCCACGGGAGGGGGGGGGGGGCAGGCTACCGTGGAGGCCACTGTAAGGCACCCACAAAGAGGAGAACACTGGTCGCAGCCACTGCCTTATTTTTGCAAATAAGAGTCAAGGGCAAATAAATGTACCAAGACCCATTTCCTAATTTCTTCCTCAATTAAATATAAAGATTGAGTTTAACAAAATACGTAACAAATAGGAAAAAAGAGAAAGCCACGTCAACCCAAACAAGGCATTAACAGAAGTCCAGAAAAAAGAAGAAAGACATGCAAAAGCCAGATATGTTTTCATAAAGAGAGACACAGACCCTTTTAGGGAAATGTATTTAAAAATTTATAAAGCGATCAAACATACACTCGTTAGAACAGTTCTATTCCCTCACGCATGCCTTTAGGAAAAGTGTTAAAGGTCAGGCCATCTGCCGTGTAGGAAAACAGCTGGGTAGGATAGTGAGGAAGCCACAAAATGGGGGAGAAACCCACCACAGCAACCTTTCTGCTTGAGGACACAACATAGCTGACGGGCAAGAGGAGGCCGAGGAAGCCCGAAGCGCCTGCAGCGCGCCCCCTGCTGGACAGAAGGCAGGACGCTCCCGGCCGCCGGCAGGAGCCCGAGCTCCAGAGGCCCTACAGCAGTCTCTTCCAGAGTGAAACTTGGGGGGAAGCAAGTATTTCCACTGGAGAGATTTCTTCCCCCCATTTTGTCTGCTTAGTTTGCTGTGAGTTGCTGTTGGAAGTTTTCTTGAGGGATTTTTTTTTTTCCAGCAGATGAGTCAAAAATGCTGCAAAGATAATTTAAGGCATAAAAGAGCACAACCAAGCGATGAGCAAAAAGCTTAAAGTGTACAGATTCCAACTTAAATAGGAGGTAAGCAGCAGGGACACTGACCCCTCTAAAAAAACGTGTGTGAGGAAGGCAGGGGTAAAAAGGAAGTTCCAAGATACTCTGCTGGTCAGAGAGCGTGAAAGACGCACTGGCGCTGCCTTCGAAGGTTAACCATCGGGCTTCCCGGATTAAGGAGACACACACAAAGCAAGGAGCGAGTTAGTAGAGACGAGAGCAGCGCTGTCCCCGCGGCAGGAGGGGTTAGAAGGCGCCCGGTCCGCGGGCTCCGGCCGGAGAGCTGACCACTGCAGGCGGCGCCGGCCGGAGAGCCAGGAGTTAGTAGGAGGAGAGCGGCGGCCACGGGGAGGTTTAGAAGAGCTGGCGGGACAGAGGCAGCGGGGCAGGCGGGCGCAGGCTGCCGGGCGTTCTTACCCCGTTGCTCTGGGTGGACTGCACGGACTGCTCGCTGGCCGAGGAGCACGTGCTCATGCGGTCCGTGTCCTTGCCGGGGGCCGCATGGCGCTGCGCCTGCCGCTGGAGGGAGTCACTGTCCCCCGGGAAGGTGAAGGAGCCCGGCCGGCTGGCGGGGGAGGCGGGGATGGAGCTCCAGAAGGAGCCCCCCTTCTGCAGGGGGCTGCTGGGGGGAAAGGGCTCCTTGCCGATCGGAGAAGGGAACGCGCTGGCCACCGGAGAGTTCAGAGGCGAGACGGCCCCGGGCCTGGGCTTTCCCAGGGGCAGCGAGCCCAGGCTGCTCCGCGAGCGGCTGTCCTCCGGGTTGGCCCGCGCCTCCTTGGCGTCCGCATCGCGGCCGGCGCCTGCCGCGGCACTCCCCGAGGACTTCCTGGGGCTCTCAATGACCTTCATCTTGGGGATGCGCTCGGCGGCGTCTTGCTCGGGGCCTTCGGGCTCTCCCGGGGCCCGCCTGGCGGGCTGGCCGAGGCCGGCCTCCGGGGCGGGGCTGCTGCCGGGAAGGGGCGGTGCAGGGCCGGGAGTGGACATACCTGACATCTTGTCTGCCTCTGCCTGGCTCGAGGCTGCAGAGGAGACCAGCACGGGGGAGTGGTGTCTGACAGGCTGGGGGATCCGGGAGGGTCTGCTTCTGCTCGAGCTGGGGAGGCCGCTGCAGCTGCCGGGGCCGCCGCTGGGGTTGCCGCCGCCGCCGCTGGGGGCCCCGCCGCCGCCGCCGCCGCCCCCGCCGCCGCCGCCGCCGCCCCCGCTGTGGTTCCTCTGATACTCGATTGGTGATGTCAAGGCTGTAAATAAGGGAGACAGAGAGGAGGCACTGTCAGGGAACCAAGAAAAAACAGCCTCACCAGGCAAAGGAGAAAGGCACAGAATGGCATCAAAAGGACATCCTGGTCCTGAATGCTCCCCCTCCCCAGTCAAGTGGAGGCTCATCCACGCCGCTTCTAACCATCACGACCTTTAAGCTCCCACCTATCCTGGAAGCAGCAGACCGACACCATCCATCAGTACAGGAAAAGGCAAAGGTCTTAAATGCTACTCTTCTGTTGATGAACAGCTGACCCGGGGGGTGCGCCTGTGTGAGTGGCTGGGGGGCAGAGAAGGCCGAGGAAGGACAGAGTGCATGAGGACGAGGGTGGCGCCGACTTTACCAGCCTGGGAGCAGCAAGCAGAGCTTCTGCATCCCCGCCCAGGGGAAGAGGCCCACTGGCCGTGTGGGAGAATCCCAGACAGCAGCTGGCTCCCATGGAGTGGGAAAGCTCAGTCCAGCTGCCACAAAGGTCTTCTTTCAACCCGAGAGCAGTCAGGCAAAGAAGAACCTGGCTGGGAGTTAAGGAATCCCTTGGTTTCCCTGCAGGCTCGCAGGAAGGCAGTGTTAGGGACCACCTCTGCTGTGCAGATTTGGCATAAGAGACAAGGGAAGGTAAAGAGCTCCACAAAGACCCCCGCGGGGCATGTAGCTGGACCATCTCTCGACTCCAGGGAGAGCGTTTATATGTAGTCATCTGCAGGAAACCGAGGGAAAAATACCAAATAAGATACGGGGAAATATCACAAAATCTTAAAGTGTTAAAACCTTTGAGAAATACAACAATTAGGCAGAACCCCTTCCTGCCTGGGAGACGTCAGGCAGGTGTGAACAAGCATTTTGGAGCCAAATGACATTTTATGAAGTCTGTCCTGGCCATGGCCTCTTACTGGAACAAGGGGCGAGAGGGAAGGGTGTCACATGCCCAGAGCTCCCACGCTATTCCTGATGGTGCTCAATCCTCTGGAATCGGTCCTTTATGTAGACTGAGGATGTCTAGTAAAGTTTCACAGCATGGCCTATTCAGGCCTCCAGTTTGGGAGGCAGTTCATTTTATTTTAAAGATGGTAAAGAGATTTCCCAACAGTTGCATGCTATGGATGGGCATTTAATGCATCACTTCAGAACAGGACCCTTAAAGAGGCCTGCACTGGCTCATTGTTACGGGAGCAAAACTTTTTTCTACATTCGCAAGGACTGTCCCCCGGCCCCTACTAGCCCCACGTATCAAATTCCAACAACAGATGTAAAAAATGATCAGTCTTGCTTAACACCCAGGCAGCTGACCACCCCTTGGCCCCAAATGCCTTGCCCTTGATTTTTCACTGAATGCCTGTGTTCCTGGCTCTTGAATGTCATGCGAGGTGTGAAGGTGGTTTTACGGTGACAAAGAAATGACAACATCCTATTGGACTGGGGCACAGACAAAGAATATGGACATGGAGAAAAGGACAAAGAGAAGACATTAAATGAGTTATCTAGCTTCTGGCTGAATTCTCGGAGCTCTTCAATGATGGCCAAGTTAGAAGCAGAGTCAAAGGTGGCCATCACAAAGGGAAGCAGGCAGTTTTAGGTCACCCACATAACGAGTCAAAGGAGTTATCTAAACCGTCAAGTCAGTATGGTCACTCTCCTTGTGAAGAAGACACAGCTTCACTCATGTCATCACTCATGTCATGGAAGCTGGGAAGGAAAAATGTAGGTCTTGTTTTCTAAAGGAGTTAGGAGTATGGATGAGCAATGTGAGCGAACAGAAATTTCAAAGGTGCACTCTGTCAGCTGCCTCAGTTTTTCTCAAGCATCCCCTTCCCAGGACAGGGCTCCAAGGCACAAGTGGTGGAAGAGACCGTGTGGGACACGTGCCGGGGGCGACGGCATGCTGGAAACCTTGACTCTTCCAGGAAGAGTTTGTGGGACTTTAAGTAACTTACTGATCCACCCTGTGCCTCAGCTTCCTCATCTGTAAAATGGGCTAACAGTGGTACTCGCCACCAGGGGTTGTTGTGAAAAGGAACTGAAGTAATACACAAGTGCTTATTAGGACAGAGCCTGAAACGCAGCCTGTGCTAAATATGTCTTGTCATTATGAGCAGGATGCAACAGGAGAGAGAAGAGAAACAGAAACGTGTACCTCAGGCAAAACACACACCCAGTAACAGAACATACATTACCATTTAAAAAATTGCGCTGGTTTTCTAAAATTTGGTTGATTTCATGGATCCATGTTTGCCGGACACTTGGACTGGATGAATGCAAAATGAAGGTCTCCACCACACCCCCCGTCCTCGATGTCAGAGCAAATTTACACGGATCATTTTCCACATTTTCCTCCAGGCAAAGGCAACTCACCTTAAAAAAATTAAAGCATTATTCACAATGGCCAAAAGGTGACCCAAGTGTCTGTTGATTAATGGATGGATAAAGAAAATGTGGTCTCTGGAATGAGTAATGGAGTATTACTCAGCCTTAAAAACGAAAGATAGTTGACATATGCCACACCATGGATGAACCTCGAGGATGTAATGCTCAGTGAAATAAGCCAGTCCCAAGAAGACAAATACTGTTAATGATTTTCTTGTAGATGAAGTAAGGACCTTGAGTGGTCATATTCACAGAGCTAGAGAGTGGAATGGTGGGTGCCAGGGGCTGGTGGGAGGGGAGATGGGGAGTGGTTGTTTCAAGAGCACAGAATTTTGGTTTTGCGAGGTAAGGAGAGTTCCGGAGTGGATGGGTGGTGATGGCTGCCCAACAATGTGAATGTACTCAATGCCGCTGAGCTGCACACAGAAAAATGGTTGAGATGGTGAATTTATGTGTATTTTACTACAATAAAAACTAAAGCACATTTATTCCCACCAGTCAGGTGCAGTGTAAAGTTCATCCCACGTCAAAGTTGAAACAACCAGTTTTGAGCTGTCATTTTTACTGCCTTGGACATCATTATCTTGAAGGTTTTCAATGGTTTTTTAAACTCAGGGATGAGGGGATTACCAGGAATTTAACTAATAACGTTGAGTATTAAACTAGAAACATGGGCCTGGGAATTACCGGATTTCAGTCTCCATTATGATGAGCCAGTGTCTGTGTAACCCTCCCTTTCCTGCCCCAGGAATAAAAGGAGACTATTTAAAATACCTTTACTGTTCATAGGGCATGTGCTATGAAGTTATATGTGCTTTCACACGTGGGGTAGTTTTACAGAAGCAAGAACATAGAATTTCTAAGCTGCTGGAATGGAGTGGAGACGTCTGTCAGGAGACTTCTGGAAGAACGGGTAAGACATCCCGTAAGATGTATGGTGGGTGCAGAATGACAACCTGGGGGCCTCCAATGGCCTGGGGGGGAGGGCTGGAGGATGGTGGGAGAGAGGAGGGGCCTGCAGTTTCATGGAGCCCAGTTCGAGTGCCTCCCTAGGTCCTGTTGGGCAAAAGAGCCTCCCCCAGCCCGGAGCGGGAGGAAGTAGGAAGGCTGCTGCAGGTGGCCAACAGAAGCCTGACGGGGAGCGGGATGGTGCGGTGTCCCACCCACGTGCTGAGACCTTGGGGCTCAGAGGGCCTAAGAGGGTTCCCGTCCCTGTCCCCGACAGGGAGCCCAGTAGCCCAGGGTAGGAGGCCCTAACACAGGGAAGCACACCTCCCTTCAGAGCTCAGGGCCTGCACGGCTGCAGAGGTGGGAAGAGCAGGGATGGAGAGGAGGGTTGGGCAAGCTGCATCTCCCAGGGACCTTCTGCTGAGACCCCAAGCTCCCTCCTCTGCTTTTTTCTATCTGGCCCTTGGTTTGTCCCATTTACAGGACTCAGGGCCATTTGCAATTATTTTGTCTGGTTACTTGTGTTTCTCTTCCATCAGACAACAAGCTATTTGAGGGCATGGACTGCCTGTCTGGTCTACCCCCGCGGCCCCATGCCGAGCACTGAGCACTCAGTGTGTCCGCATTGAGTGGAGGAGAATAAGACAGTGGGAAAGCTTTCTGCTCTGGTCTTATGACAGTTATCCAAATCTGTGTCCCTTAAAGTTGTACGTGGTCCTAGGAAAGGGGGTACACAAAAACTAACAAAGATAAAATCTTCTCATCATGGTCACACAGAGATGTGTGCAAGCCATCAGCCACTTCAGAATGCAGGCAGTACAGGGATGGAGTGAACTTTTAAAAGTTCTAAAATGTCTTAGGCAGTTTTCTAAATATTTAATAAACAAAGGATCAGGACATGTCATTGCTGAAAAGGAAACAGTTTATCCGCATGACAGGTACGTGCATCAGCACAAACACACATTACCTTGATGCTGTTCTTAAACAGGAATCCTGGCATCGAGAAGCCCTTTTTTTTATCAAGTGGTTCACTGAAAATGACGATCTGCTCAAAGAGGAAAACCCGCCTCTCTTTACAGCGAGGCAGAAGTCCCGAGTCTTGATCTGTGACCAAGAATGTGTCCTGCAAGAGCAGCTTGCCCTGGGCAACAATTTTACCCTAAAAGGGGGGGCAAAAGAAGAGGAGAGAACATTTCATTCTAAGTCAAAATATCTGTTTTGTTCTCTTTTTTTTCTTGTTCTCACAGAATGTGTTTTTCTTCTTTTAATTTATAGAGCTTAAAAATTTCATTTATTGTAATGAGTTCTTAGCCCCAGATGGGATAATCATCTAGATAAAATTCTTGCCAAACTCTGTGTATGTCTCTGGCCTCAGTTATAATCAAAGACAAAATGGATTGAAAGTGTGTAGTTCACACTGGAACAGGTTCTCGAGGCACAGACCCTGGGCCCAGCTGTGTTGGCGCCCCGGCAGGACCATTAGAAATGCACAGGGACCCGTGTTTTCAGAAGCCGTCCAGGAGAGTGTGTGTGCGCTTTCCTGAGAACCACAGCACCAAGAACTGTACACTCTAATTCTCTGGTAAAAGAGTAGAAGAGAAAAGCAAAAACGTGTCCCCTTTCTTTACTCAGTAGTTGAATTTGTACAAATTCTGAGTATCTTTAAGATACTAATAGGACAATATGTAATATCAATAGTCTGGCAACTCATAGAACCGTTTGGCAGACGAACAATGGACACAGTGCGCCTGAAGTCAAGCTCCCAGGGACGGTGGACGGGCAGGGCCCCCCTGCTTCCCACCACCTGCCAGGGAAGGCGGCTGTGCCACTACAGGATCAGAGGGCCCACGAGTCACAGCCAAGCCCCGGCAGGCGCTGGGCTGTGAGCAGAGGGAGGGCCTCAAACAGCAAATCAGATGCACGGAAAGAAGTTGAAAGAAAATACCAATCAGGTTCAAGAACAGTGAGAGGAGACAGAAAGTAGGCAAAAAGGATCAGCTTTCTATGTGTGCAGGTAAGTGATCGAAGACCGAAGGAAACGAGGGAAGCCGGAGGAGCAAGTTTAAAGGGCTGCAGCATTACGTCAAATCCCTGCAGCCGCCCCACATTCATCATGTCGTTGCACCGCTTGGGGACTATGCACATGACTTCCACGGCTCTCTGGGGGTGGGAGAGAAAGCAGAGCCGCTGGTCAGCCCCCCGGGGAAAGCTGCCGCCCTCGGCTCACCGCCCCCTCCGCTTCCCCCCAGTCCCGCTCCCCCCATCCCCGGGGTGCGGAGGGCACATCCAGGTGCAGGACAGACCCCTCCCAGGGACAGGCCCCTCCCGGGCAGGCTGCTCGGGGGACACTGGAGACAGGGGTGGGAAGGATTAAGTGAGGGGCCTGGGTAGCACAGGGTGGGCCCAGCGGGGGGATGTAAGTACCTCTAATTCTGACGTATCCAGGCTAGCTTTTTTGGAATACTTGAGGAAGTCCTGCAAGGAGCACAGAGAGAAGGACATGATAAGGGTGATGATCACAACAGCAGCTAACCTTTTTGCTCATTCCTGATGTGCCAGGTGCCAGGCCAGGCATCTCGGTCGTATGTTCTCATTGCTTTCTCCCGGTAACATGATGGAAAGATATCCTTAGGAGGATTTCGAGCTACAGCAGAGCAAAGTCAACCAAATCTAAGCAGGTATCGGCTCGTCTTTTACTCCAAGACAGCTCTGGGCTCTGTGGATGCCCGGCTTCTAAGTTTTATATCCGAAGCACTCTCCACATATTTCGACACTCACTCTCATCATGGACAACTGTGTGACTCTGCCTCTAATTGTGCTTAGGAATTTAAACCAATCAACGGCGTCTGAGCTCTGAAATTTTAATTTCACGCAGGACCCCCAGGAAGATGAGAAAACTTGCAAGGCCGAGAGAGCCGAGGAAAAACGATTAACATTCAAAGGTCTGTGATGGGGAAAAAAGTTCACTTCAAGTGACATTTTGATTCAGAACTTGATGTAAATGAAAAATTGAGAAAGACAGTACAAGGCACCTTATTAGATTTTAAGAAATTTACTCTGAAATATTTAAAATCAGAAATCAGAAGACCGCTTTAGGTTTTTTATAGGAAAGATTCCCCTCCCCTGCCCAATCATTCCTTCCCCTCACCTATCCGGTCCTCTCACCAAACAAACCGCCGACCCCGAGTCTGCGCCCAAGTCTGCGCCCAGCAAATCCTCACCTTCAGTAGCAGCTGGTACTTCATGATCCTCTGCACTGGTTTGATTAACAGATCTGTGAGCTGCAGCCTGTGGCCCAGACGCTGCTTTAAGTCCTGTGGTTTTAAGGGAGAAAAGAAAGATCTGTAAGTGCTGCCTTTCAGAGGACAATTGCTGAGTCCCTGTGACGGTCAGAAATGCCAAGTACCCGGCACGGAAGGCGGGAGAGGCGTGGGGTGGGGCAAGGGGCCTCGCTGCACAAACATCGGCCAGGGCTCTGCCATTTCTCAGAATGGCCTCTTCCAACCTTCCAGGGCGGTTTTCAAAATAGCCATTTTTTTTTGCTTGTTTAAAGACCTTCTTTCACTTGCTTTCTTTTATTCATATAAACACATGCTTTATTTTTAGGCTGAGAGTTTAGATCATGAGTTGTTCTGAATCTGTAAAGAGGCTTAAGTTCAAAACCGCTTAAAAAACCCCTTATTTTAACAATGACCCCAGTCTTCTGAAGGTTAACAGATACACAATCATAGACTAAGAATTCATACTCATTTCTCTGATTTATAGGAACGGATTGCTTAGTTCCTGGGAAACATGATATTTTAGGTTTTGGACATCAACTGTAACAAAAGATTCAGAGAAATACTTTCTTTCTTGGGTCTTACCTCAAAAAAGGTATCAATGTATTCTGAGACAATGTGCTCAGACTTTGGTTTATTTTGACAATAAACTATATACATGTGCAACCTTCTCTCCTAGGAATGAAAAAGGCAAACAGAGGAGTTAAAACAATCAGAAGTTCAATTAGAATATAAGAGCACATACACATTTCAGCACATTCATAAAGGAAATCTTCTTCAAACAAAACTGGTTTAGGCCCATGGGAGCACATTCCAGATGTAGGACTACGTCAGCATTCTGCTTTGTGGCTCCGAAGACAGTCTTTTCCCCTTGACCCCTCAGGTATTTCAAACCCCTCACTTCACCCGGCAAGTACAGGGGCAACAAGAGGACACGGTTCTTCGTATTGAACAGAGAATTACTGCCACCCCTCCAACTGGCCCAGTGCTCTAGGAAGCCTTGCTGGCTTTAGCAGGGAAGAAAAAGCTCTTTGACTGCAGGTGCTGAAGGCAGGGGAAAACGTACCTAGTGAGCCATCCCTTCATCCGGTGATCCTCTAAGTGTGGTGTACCCACCCCTGGGGGTCCCTGTGGCCTTTCAGGGGATCCAGTGGGTCAGAACTATTTTCAGACTAATGCTAAGATATAATTTGCCCCTTTCTTTGTGCTACCATCTCAGGGATGTGCAAAACCAGCAAATATTGGCAAATATTCACCCCTGCACATTTGCAGAAGACTGCCAGTTTCACCTCAGAATGTTCTGGATGCAGTCATAAAAATCCATTTTATGAAAACTCAACCATGGAGTGTACGTCTTTTTAACAATCTTGTGACAAAACAGAGGTCCTCATAACACTTCTGTGGCATACAACAGTTGTCTCAAGCAGGCGCACTTGTGACACTGAGCTGTGGGCCAAACTGACTGCTGGGTTTTGTGGGCTGCCATTTTTACTTGAAAGAAGGATGGACACAAACTATATTTATACTTGGGTATCTGACAAACATCTTCTTGAACATGAACAAAAAGTCTGTCATTTCAAGGCAAACTGGCAGTATCTGTTGATAATGAAACTCTGAGCTTTCCAGTTAAAGATCAGAATTTTGGAAAACAGGGTATCTGCCACTGTGAACTTGACAATACCTAAACACTGGCCTTAAGAGAGGGCTGGCGATATTAACAAATCCGATTTTTTGATAATGTGTAACAAAATGTCTCAGCATCTGGAAGATCTGTCTGAACCAGGGAACCACTATTTTCCAACTGACCAAGCGCTATTTCACAAGCTGGTGCAGGGCTGGACACCTGCAGGTGTGAGGGGCCTCAATGCGTCCAGTGAAACAGTAAGGCACAAGTCCGCTACAGAGCTTTCCAGATTCCATGTGGCAGCTAACCTTTGAGATGGTATCACACAGTCGAGTTTCGGTGTGGTATCTCAGAAAGCTACCCATAATTACCTGAAGAGAGTATTAAAATACTTGTTCCTTTCCAACTCTCTACCTCTATGAGGATGGATTTTTTTCATATATTTTAACCAAGAAACCATTCCACAACAGAATGAATGCAGAAGCCGATATAAAAATCCATCTGTGTTGTATTAAGGCAGACATTAAAGAGATCTGCAAAAATGCAAAAACTCTTATCACTAGTTTTTTTTTTAAAATGCAGGAATTTTTCCTAAAAAACCCATTAATGTTAACACACTTATTTCAGATACACACATGTATTTGGCTACTACATTAAACCTACTGCATGTTTAAGTACATCACCATCTTCACTGAGCTGTCTGCCCGCAGACATCCCCAAATGTTCCTGCTTCAAGTTTGCCTCTGGTTCCCCTTCTGACCACTCTGTACCGTGCTGAGCTCCACAGCCGGCTGGGGCTAGGTGACCGGGAGAGCCGATCATTCATGTGCAAGAGTGTGGTTTAATTCCAATTCGCTGACACTGCACGGTTTGGTTTGATTCTTAACATAAGCACTTTTATAAACAACCAGTGAGTTCTCCTTTAATCTGAAAAACCAGTCACTAAACATGACAATATCAGAACAGAATATAAATAATGTTATTGTACTGACATGTTTAACAAAAAGGGATCCTAGTTTTTCTGGATCTTCAAGGCACTTCTCCAACTCTCCTAAAAAAAAGCTGAAACGAGAAGAGAAATGTTAGAGCCGTTTCCAATCTGGCCTTCTGATTTTTGTCAAAATAGTCTGCTGTGACATGAGCAACCGGAAAGTGTCAAGTATATACTTCAGAAATACAGTGTTCACAGAAAACATTTTGTTAGGACAGGAACCAAGAGAGATACACAGGTGAAAAAGACAAGGCAGAATGAGACCATCCCTAGACTGGCGACCTTTTCTTCTCTTGGACAATCAACATTTTTGTCTCATTTTTCTTAAGGACACAAGCAATAACATATCACGACTGAATACAGAGAAAAAATAAAAGTTTCAACACGATTGGTCATTTTTATTTCTGAAAACTAGAGTTTCATATATTTTATGGTAATTTTTAAGAGGCCCAAATTGGATAATAATCGATATAAAATACTGAATATATTACCTGTGCTAGTTTTATAACATTTTCCCAAATACTAGCCAACGTCACCTCCAGGTTATGCGTATCAGCTCCCACCGAGACAGAAATCAGTTGTAACCACAGCAACACGAGGGCTGTGGGACACCTGCTCTGTATCTCTTCTGGGCTGCAGTCTCCAAGACGCATGCTCCCTCAGTCATCACTTAGCTACATGGATAGTTATGTCTGGTATTTTATTAACCCGCAAACCAGCATATCCATTAAGGCCATGTTGAATTTTCTAGCACCTGGGGTTTTCTTACAGCTCTGCACACACTGTGGCGGGCCCCATCTCCAGGTGCAACTTCTCTGTCTGGTTAACCCAGGAACACTGTGCTGTTTTCTCTTCCCATCCTGGCTTCACAACCAGACCGAGGGGTGGCAGACTATAGAGGAGCACCAAATACCCCTTTCTAAAATTAGATTCACAGATTAGTCTACAATCAATAGAGCTATCAGTCAGGCTGTGTCTGAAGTTGGTCCTTCGTTTATCTACGAGTCTGACTGAATTAGACATTAAGGGGGATATGAAAATGATGACCCCGTACCTGGGTTCAAGGGTTTTACATTCTATCAGGACAGATAAATTTAGAAATAATAAAACACTACTATATACACACCCTGCTAACCCCTCATATCTGCACAGTACTTTATAGTTTCAAAAGCACATTTACATATGCTATCTGCAAGGAGGACAGAGCACATCTGATTGGAGTGATGAGGCCTAATGGAGAGTGATCATTTGACCTGGGCTTTGAAGCGGATGGGAGCGCACTCCCGGCCACGGGGACAGCGATGCACATAAAGACAGTGAAGTAGGCACCCTGTACAGATCAGAGGAACAGAACAGGGCCGCTGGAATACTCCACAGTATTATCAGTGGCTGGCATTAAGCAATCCGCAGATGATTATAGATTTTTTAATTTGGAGTTAGGTGACCCGAAGGGGCTGATGTGCACCAGCCCCCACGTGAACCTCCTGGTTGGGATGGGTGTGACAAGGTGCTGCGGTCAAATGTGATTGTCATGTGCAGTCACGTCTACGGTTTCCATTAAAATGCCTCGAAACAAGAGTATCTTCAAAACTCTCTAATAGTAATTGTACTATTGTGTCAAGAGGCGGCTGCAACTCTAATTAGGAACATTTACTGAGGCTTACTCTACACGTAGATGGTATTCTAAGTGCTCTGCATGTATTAACTCAGTGTCTCTTCACGAAAAACCCCATGAGGGGGGTGGGTAAGACTCTGACCCACACTGCATAGAAGGAGAACGGAGGCACAGAGACGGGAAGCAAATGGCTCGAGGCCAGCACTGGGCTCTGAACCCAGGCAGTCAGGCTTGGTGCTCGTGTGTCCAGCCACCCCCACGGGTGCTCCCTGGATGCACCAGCAAGCAGAAGAGACTCTTCCCCCCTGCCATGACATGCTACCACAAAACTCCCTGAAAGACTGATGTATTCTAGAGAGAGTACACCAGCAGGGGGAGGGGCAGAGGAGAGAGAATTTCAAGCAGACTGCGCTGAGCATGGAGCCTGATGTGGGGCTTGATCCCAGGACCCTGAGATCATGACCTGAGCTGAAATCAAGAGTCGGACATTTAGCCAACTGAGCCACCCAGGTGCCCCGATCAGTACTTCCTCTGCACCAGCTACCTCTGGGAGGCCACACAGGTCATAAAAGGAGACAAGCCACTGCACGGCCTTTCCCATTTGCCCGACACAACGCAGTTTAGCAAGTGATGATGCTGTGCACACTCTCATGCATGAAAAGTGTCTTACGTACTCTCTGTGCCAGTCATAAATCTGATGGATATTGCCAAATACAATCTTGTCCTTTCCTTTCATGTCATCAGGAACACCATCTTCCTTCATAAGAGCCATGTAGCCCTATAATTGAATATTTAAGAGTAAGTTTGCTTCACTGACATATTTGGATCAAGTAATAACTTACGGACTAACAGTCATAAAGAACAAAACAGACACATGCACTGTCTCATAACCCAATATTTCTTCAAAAACAGATAAGAGCCCTGTAGGAAAGAGTCCTGCATGGCCCTTGGACTGTACGGCCACACACACTGCCATGATTTTCTCTCCTTGAGCTGGTGGCCTTCATAGATCCAAAGTCTTCAAAGGAACTGAAGACATTTAAATGTAAATGGTTTCATAAAACAAATCATCTTAGCAGCTTGTAAACATTAAATATTTGGCCAGAAATATATTTTCTCTGTTCTTAGGATAAGAACATAAACAGATTTCCTTTTCTTTTTGGATTATTTACATAATTTGTTAAATAAGAATTTAACAATATTCTTTCCATAAATTGATTTTTTCATAACAGTTGATTAAATATGTTGCTAAAATGTCATTTACAACTTATCTTGAGTGGGATTCAGCCTATACACTTCTCTCTTAAGTAATTCAAGTTACTTAAATTGCAGAAGCATCAAGCATGCTAAATCTTTTGTTACACAATTAACTGTGAAAGCTGTTACTTCTAATGGAATGAACACCCCAAAAGTACTGTCCTAGATGAATTTGTGAAGCCGAAAGAATAAGCGGTAAAACTGTATTAGTATATACCGTAATACATATATACAGTATAAAAACAGCTTTTTGAGGAGTTGAGTTTATAAATATGATTATGCCCTGAGCTTTAATGCCAGGGAAAAGCCTGGAGAGGGCCCTTGATGCAGTATGAAAGGCCATGGTTCTCTTATGGCTACACTGTGTGTAGCAACTTCAGGGCCATGAAGATGGTGATGTATTTGTTCTGTGGAAAGTATAAGCAAATGGCCTGCTGTAGCCACAGACCAGCTCTGAACCCAGGTGGATTCAGGATGGAACTGAAGCCACAGTTGGCCAAACTGACTTCTTCAACCAACGATGTTCTCATTTCTGCGAGGATATCCATGTTTGTGAATAATCAAAGGCAAGATTCCCGTGTCATAAATACAATGGCTGGATATAATTTAAAAACTTAATTATAAAAAAAAGTGATTATGTCAAAGATACACTATGTGAAAAAGAAGCAGTTAAAAGTGAATACAGATGAAGATAATTGGCTAAATTTCATTTTCCTGAAACTTGATTTTCTTTTGGGGGGGGGGGTGTCAAAATGTTTTTAAAGCTTTTGAGAAGTTTATCAGTGTTGAACTGTCAAACATGATACTCCCTTCACAACTCTTGGGGCTGATACAAGTTATTAAATCTCTGAAAACATACCTCAACCACACAGCCAAGGTCCCGCACATAGTCACGCTCTGTCTCCACGAGTTCTTGCAAAACATAGCTGGAAAGAGAGGGAAAAATGAGTGTTTACAATCCAAACACTTTTCATTTTCTGAATGAATTCTTTAGCACTTTGCTTTTGTCATGTCGGACTCCCACTGGGATTGTACTGTAATATATCAAACTTGCACAATTGGGTCTCCAATTCCTGAGTGTCCCAAATCACTTACAGGTTCATGTATGTAACCCACAAGAGCTGTGGACTATGATCACATATATGGACAATCAAGAGAGGCTTGGACATAACTTTGTTATAAAGGCATGACAGTAAAAGAAGCAAGTTTGTTTTGTTCTCTTTTTAAATGATTAAGTCATTTTAAGCTTCACTGGACCTACGACAAAAAACTTTAACTCAGATGTTTAAAGCTTCGGGTCTGATCACTCATCCAGAAGTGTTTCTGAAGGCTCGTAACTGTTTGCAAGGCCTCTCTGATAAGAGAAGACAATTAGTTGATCCACCTCAGCTGGCATGAAAAGGGTCTGTTGGTCTGCTCATCCATCCAATTCAGCCAACACTGGCCAGGCCTCTCCATAAGCCCGCCATCATTCTAGGATCCAGAGTGTCGGGATGGAGCGCTCAGTAAAACCGAGTCTGCCCACACACAAGAATTTCCTCTTCTCCAAAGGCAAGGTTAAAACCTTTTGTAATATTTCCCAGGATTCTCTTTTTTCACTGTAAGCGGCTTTACTGGAACTGAGAAACACTATCACTAAGGTTATGTTAAAAAAATATTCAAGTTTTCGGGACTGTATCTGATTTTGCCTTCTTTCCTTCACAAGTCCGTATATAATAGAAAGCACAGGAGTTTCTCAGTAGAAGTGACAGAAGATATTCTTGTATCATTCTTATTTATAAATAAAGTATAACACACAAATAACAAAACTGCAGCTATTGGGGAGCGCCTGGCTGGCTCAGTCAATACAGGGCAGGCCCTCCTGATCTCAGGCTCATGAGTTTGAGCCTCATGTTAGGTGAAGAGCTTACTCAAAAAAAAAAAAAAAAAAAAATAGTAAAATAAACGATTTCCAAACTCTTAAAAAAAACCAACAACCCTGCAGGTATGGCTTCCTGCACCCTTCTAAGGCTCTGAGAGATTCTCAAAGACATATACAACTACTCCAGGAGTGACCCTGGAGCTACTTGTTGCACCCATCCAGAGACGGATCCCTGTCACATTTGTGAAGGTGACAGAGACAGGAGGAAAGCTGACCAATGCTGACATGGAAACGTCTCTTACTGCCGTCTCTTTAGAGAGCTGGATTTCCTTTCTTCCATCTCATCAATGGGCGAGGAGGAGGACAGGAGGGAGTTGTCTGAAGGGTTGAAGGAGGGGCTGCTACTGTCTCCCTGGTCAACAAGGAGCGAGCTGGGGCGATCCTCCAGTGCCTGAAAGAAAACCAGACCACCAGTCACGTTTCCTGCCTACAGTCCAGGAGGCTGGAATTAGGATTAGGAAACCTCGTTAAGTCAGAAAAGACAGAAGTCCTGATGGTAAAATCAGAAGATCTATGTTTGTGATATTACACGGTATTCGTAACAAAAACCTCCACTATTAACATAAATATTGAGCAAGAGTAGCTTGATAAACGAGGTATGTTAGAACAAAAAGGACAGTGAATTTATACGCATTAATAAATTCTATTCCTTGTAATCAGATAATTAGAAATAACCCAACTTGTTTCCATCACAGCACTGCCCCCATTTCTGGGTGTTATCAGGCATTCCACAGGTAGCCATTTTTTCGCAGTTATATTCCTGCCAAATGACAGCAGGACCATTTCAGAAGTGTGTGGAAACTCCTCCATCATGCCAGCCTACCCCAGGCACATCGCCCGTATCCCCTGCTGGTGGGCTATGCCACAATGTCGGCGATCTCTATTTTAGTTTAGACAGGGTGGGGACTATTCTTGATTATCTGGATACTTGCAACGTCCTTCCTCTCTTCTGTAGGAAGCACTTGTCATGCTGCCTCGACGACGTATCCTAAACTCCCTCTCCTCCACTGGAGTTTAGTTTCCATGAGTGACTGTCTTCAGTGTTGTATTCCCTGTAGAACCTTGAATGAAGCTTTGCAGGTGTTCAACACATCTAAGATGAATACTGACTTCTGTCCCTAGACTAATGTGACAATGATTAGCGACTGCTTACTTTCTAGTTGGTACATATTAACTGTGTTTCTTAACCTGAATTCCCAAAGCTCCAAGGGGTATGGGTTATAGTTCTTTCAAAATTTCCAAAACACCCAGCTGGATGACAGGTATGATCAAGAAGTATTTATCTAGACGGGAACTGGGAAAATGTGATTAACTTACCTTCAAACAAAAAGCTCAATACAAACTGCAGGAACACTTAATATTTCGCCATCAAATCAAAACCTCTAATGCTTGTCCAACTGTTTCCCCTTAAGAGCACGGACCAATGCTGACCTCGTCACTAAGCACAGCTTTGAGGACACAAAGTCTGTGCATGTAGTTTTGTTCACCAAACCCACGGAGCATGGAAACACACCAACTGCTGCACTTATTTGTGAAAGATAGTCAGGGAACGGGGTTTGATGAGAAAATAGCACTCTTATTTTGAAATAATTAGCTATTGGCCTTTACTGGAAGCAAACACTTTGCAGGAAGCCGCATGGCTTGCTTGGTGCTCGTGGATCACGGCGCTCTTCTACGGGAGACTGGGGTCTGGAGGAGGAGGGGAGGACGCTCTGCACTGTCTTGGGTCTAGATTTGTGAGGAAACAGCTGATGCTCATTAGATTCAGTTCTGTTCTTTTCAAGGGTGATAAAAAAGAAAGAAAATAAAGATGTCTCCAGATGTCCCTTCACACAAAGCAGCGAGCAAGGAGGCCAAGCAGTGGACGTCGTTGGTGTCAGCTGGTGGGATGGTTGTCTGGACTGCCAAGGGTGTGGACGGGAGGCGTGGACCGGATAAGCCTCATGGAACCAGAATTCCTGAGACTTCACAGATTTGGGTGAATTACTTGTGAAGTCCCGTGGGTTTGGCGGTGTTCTGGGTGGGCAGGTTCTTGTCAACTTGCTCTATTCCTTGGATGAGGACAGGTCTGCACAGATAATCCATCTCTTCTAGGGTTAGTGTTGGTAAACTGTATTTTCTTAGGAAACTGCCTGTTTCATCCAGATTCTCCAATTTACTTTCAAAGACCTCAAAAAAAGTGTTATGATTATTTTAACTTCTTCAGTTTGCCCCTTCCCATATAATTCCTAGTTGTGTGAAATTGTGCTTCCCTTTCTATTTTCTTGAGAAGATTACCTGATGTTTATTACTTATTCAAAGAACAAATTTTTGGTTTTATTTATTTTTCTGTTTTTCTATTTCTCAACTCATTATTTCTGTTGTTTTTCTAGTATGTTGAGGTAGATGTTTATTCGTTTTTTCTTTCTCATGTCTCCTTTTATATTTAGATGAACAAAGAGGAGAAAACCCCAAAGTCAAGTGCAAACGGTCACTGTGGCTGTTGCTGCCAGTGCTTGGGAAAGACGCACATTTCCCACACCGCTTGGACCTGGGATGTGGCGGTAAGGGAGAGGAGTGAACCCCAGGAACTAGTTTCCAGGGTGGTTTTATTTTTCAGATGGACTTTGCAGGTTTTATGGTTAGGAGGTTCAGTTCCCCAAATATCATACTGTGTAATAGTTGAACAACTTCTTCCCAGGCCAGTAAGTTAGTATGTAGCTTTTGAAGGACAACCAACTCAGTGTTCGAATTCTATTATGAAGGCCCTATAGCCTGAGAGGTCACCCACAAGAAAATGAATGCAGATGACCAGGGACCTATAGCACATGGTAAACGTGCAGGACGAACTTGGGGTCACATGCGCAGGACAGGTGAAAAGAGAGTAAAATGATTCAGAGGTTTCACTGACTAACAGCAGTTCTCCTCTGACATCAGAGGATTAGTGACAGGAAATCAACACAGAGCAATGTTTCCCTTGAGCCAGAAAAAGAGGGCAGAATCTAGATTACATTCCATGGACACTGACGATGGGATGAATCCGGCATGAAGAGCATAAACACGGTCCTCCAACAGCACAAATACGCAAGCACTAGTGATTGCCCACGTGGATGGAACCTTGCTGGGAGCTTAGCAAATAGTCCTTATGCCGAGTTTACAGCTGAAGGACACAGGCTCGGAGAGCCCGAGTGTAAGCAGCAGTGTTTGAACACGAGTGTATCTGACTCTGAAACCTATGCCCTTTCCACGATGCCAAGAGCTTTATGCCTGTTAACTGAAGGAGAAACCTGAGTAGAAAGAACTGAGTTTCAACTGGTAAAGTTTAGTGCCTTGGAACTGAAAGGAAGGAATGAAGCAGTAAGAGCTAAAGAAACCATGTCCTAGAACTCCTCTCCATTTCAAGTCCATGTGAATTAATGACAAACGAATCTCAACCCACTTCGAATTGAATGCAATTCCAACACTGGCAGAATGATGATGAGCAGGCTGACAAAGGGCACCTCATAACCTTGCTTGGGAAAACTATTTCAATTATTAGACAGAATGATTTTAATGATCATATAATTGAGGAGTATGAATGACTGTTTTTAAAATGTTTAAGGATGCTTGAAAGCTCGCAGGGTATAATTTAAGTATCCTTTGTTTAGACCATCAATCAAGTAGTCTCAAAGAGACAGCCAGGATGTGGTTTAGCTTAGTTCAAACTGAAATGATCCCAAACTCTCGACCAATGGAGTCAAGTTCTTAGGTTTTCTACCAATTACTAGCAACTTTCCTGTCTAACTTCCAAGCCCATCGTGTCACTTTCAGAGCATGACTACCTGGGAAGAAATTCCAATTATGGCAGAGTGAAACAGTCTGAATTTTTCCTGATACAACTCCTATTTGGCTGAGTCAACCACAGTTTCACTAGCAAATGTGGTCAATTCCAGTCTGTCTCGTGTGTCCAGGGTCAGTGGTACTCACAGACAGACAGGCTAACAGTTTCTCTTGCTGTCTCTGATGGGTAGAATGATCAGATGATTAAAAAAAAGATCAGATGATTGATCAGAACCTGTCTAGGAGTAGAAGAAATGGGGATGATATAACGTTACCCAGTTAATACTTATTGGAAGGAAGATAAATTTCCAACTTGAAAAAGTATACTCTCTGATCTGGCAATTCCAGTGCTAGAAATTTACCCTACAGATCTAACCACACAGACATAACCACCATGGAGGTTTACAATAGTGCAAAACTGAACACAATTTTATTTTTTTTAATAAATTATGTAGTATAATCAGGTCTCTGCCCCTTACTGGCTGGTTAAGTTTTTAAACTCTGTGGCTTCAGTTCTGTCATCTGTAAAATAAAATGGCAGTAATGTGTACTTACTTCATTAGGCTCCTAATAAGTTAATATAGGCATGGAATAGTGGCTGGTATAGAGTAATCCCTCAGTAGATTACCACTGCATCCACGCTATGGAATACTGTACAGCTATTACAAGGAATGAGGTAAACCTTATGTACTGATGTGAGAAGCTCCTCAAGATTTATTAAGTCTTAGAACTTAAAAACGGAATGAAACCATTTTTGAAAAACAGAGCATGGACAAGCACTCTCCCTTCCCCATATATGTTTGTACCTGCAAAGAAAATGTCTGGAAGGAAACATACCAAACTGATCATAGTGGTTACCTCTGGAAGAGGGACGGGTAGGAGAGGCTGGAGGATTTTTATTTTCAGAGGGGTGACTTTTAAAAGATGTTAAGTAACTTTATGGAAGTTGTAAGATACACAAATGTAAAGGTTGCTACCATTAATGGTTTTCCCATCTCACAGTTAGGAAAACCGAAGAAACACAGAAATTAATTGATTTGAATCAGTTAGAAGCAATGTACACCTATCTAACTTCAAATTAGTATTTTGATTTTGGAGCTTTTATTAAATGAATCCATGTTGACCAACTGGAAATACAGAGGTCACTAAGAAAAGAAAGCCCTTACATAACAGTGCAAGCTCTTCTCTCTTATACACTGTGAATCCGAATGAAAGGTCTCGGAGACCTCGAAAGGAACTATCAAGCTATGGGTGTGTGCCACTGGCCGAGGGCACACCTGCAGACATGAGCGGAACTGACCACACCTGCGAAAATGGTGCTAGCACTGCGGTCAATGTAGGTGCAAGAACGGATTAATCCTGGTTCCTGGAAGGTGCCGCTAACCCCCCTGGATGTCCTGCCTGATAGGCATGTCTATTTACCTAGGCGCCTTGGGCCAAGACAGACAGTCCATGCCAACAGTGTGACTCCTGGTGGGGGCTTTGGGCCACGTGGTATCTTGATTTCTGGAGGGGCAGGAGACAAAGGGGAGCCATGCCAGCAGGCAATGGCTTGTGTATGGGACTAAGCTCAAATAAAAACTCTCAACACCGAGGCTCAGGTTAGTGTCCCCTGTTGGCCAGACTCTACATATGTGATGCGCAACGATGTCACACATCGTGGTCAGGAGAAGTCAGTGCTCTGCATGACTCCACTGGGAGAGGACAGCTGGAAGCTTGACCCTGGAGCCCTCCTGCACTCTGCCCCACGCACCTCTTCCCTGACTGATTTGAATCTGTCCTTTCACAGTAGAAACCACAACTAGGGGTATCACACCTTTTCTGAGTTCTGTGAGTCCTTCAAGCGAATTCTTGAACCTGAGGGTGGTGTTGGGTACCCCAAATGTGCAGCTGGTCAGGAGTGAGGGTGGCCTTGGGGACTCCACCTGTGTAACCTGCCACAGACACATTCTGCAGATCGGAGCATGACATGAACAGGGGCACATCCATCTGCAAGCAGCCGTTACCGCAGCTTCCAAACCTCAGACTTTCTCTGGGAAGCCTTACCATCTTGCTTTTCACGAGTTCTTCAATTGCACTCACAAGCTCAGCTGCACTCGGAGTTTCGGAGCTGGTGGGGCGGACTAATAACCGAGAAGAGGCCTACGGCAGAAGTGAAGAGAAAAAGAAGGGGGAGGGGAGTGCCTCATGTTAGTCACTGGACAGACAGTAAATTCTCCTGCAAGCTCAATCTCTTTTTCAAAGTAATTCCAGACAAAAAGACCACAAGTTTGTCTTTGTTTGCATTTATTTAAAGTCATCCTTTTAAATTTACAATATTCTGACATGAAATACTAAATAAAACCTGTCTGGGATACATGTGGTACGCAGACAAAGTCTGTTTTTAATCCTCAGTCATGTAACATCATAATGGTTTTCAAAGAGGTGACTGGGCGCGGGAGATTGCTAACTGTAACTTTTTCAACTGCCAGCTATAGGCTAGTGGCTGAGGAGGAAAAAACACAGAATCTGATCAACGCAAGAATGAAAGGCTTAGGGTCTAACGAGTGATCCTCAAATAACCAGGAAACCGAACAGGATACTAAAAATGGCTCGCCTGTGTTTATGGGGTTAAAAGAAAGAAAAGGAAAGGAACCGGGGGTGCACTGACCAGACAGGGAAGAGGGGGGACAAGCTCACCATTTTCTGTGCCATCCATTTCCCCAATGATTAGTGCAGAGTACAGAAGATCTGTGGCCTCACAAGCTATGAGATGCCATTTACGGCTAGAATCAGGGTGTACAGGGGTTTGACAGGTAAGGAATTTGAGGGAGGGGCTGCTGAATTCAAGTTTCAGTAATTAGCAAACACAGTGTGTTTGCAGATTACTTGTGCCATCAATTAACTGGAAACTAGAAGAGGGGTGTAATATGAACCTTGCTTCATATTAAGGACAGCAGAGATGCATGCGACACACGGCTAGCTGTCCTAACAATGCATTTCTCACAGGAGACAGATACGGATTCATACATTCACAACGAGGCTTTTACATGTGTGGATCCAGATATGGGATTTGCAAAACAAATGTTGGTTTGGTCTAATGAAATCTGGAGTATGGCGGGGGTGAAGAAAACAAAGAAAAAAATTCAAATGGAGAGGTAAGGAAACTGAGCCAAAACAGACACAGAACACAAATCAACGTAATGCTGCAGTGAAAGTTTACAAAAAGAGAAAACAGAACAAAACAAAATATTAGTCACAAGATAATATACTCTCTGGGAATATCACTATAGATTTTTGTAAATGAAGAACTGCTACTGATAATACCCAATGAGGTAACACGATAACCAATAAATGATTTCAGCCACTGAAGTATACAGCACAATCCACTCCTTACATGGAGAAAAACACTCTTACTAGGGGAGTAAGTCAACCAGGCCCCACATCTCACTTTGGCTAACCATCCAGATTTACGAAATTTCAGTTTCCTGCTTTCAAGGAAGGTACAGCTTGGGATGCCACAAAATAGTTTAGGAATTGTCTGAGAAATGACATGTTCCCATTTCCTGGCAAGTCTGCTCTGTGCAGGGGGTGAGGCCCTCTGTCACCTCACCTCACCTCAGCTCCCTCAGCGCCCGCCTGCACCTCACAGGCCTCCAAACTCCAGACGCCAACCCAAGCCACATCCTCCAGCCGAGCCCCACAGTGCCACAACGGGGGGGAAGGTGGGTTCCCAGGAGGTGGGAGGTGGCTGCCCACGTTAAGACTAACTCGTGGTTTGCCTCGGCCTCACAGCCGCCCATCACTGGGCCGGGGCAGAGTCCAGGTCATAAAACACAGATAATCCAGCAAATGACTGTGTTAGCACTGAAGAGGGAGTCAGGGAAGGAAAAAGAGGAAGATTGGGCAAAAATGATGAAAACATCTGTTTTATTCAGAAAGCTTAGTTACTGCCCCCCCAAAACAAAAAGAACCAAAAAACAAAAAGCCAAGGCACCCCTCTAGTAATGACTTCATAGCACGGTTTGCAACACCTGGGCCAGAATGCAAGAGGACGTGCAAGCCAGTCACCAGGTTTCTTTTGGATAGTTTAGGGCTCTACAACCGGGATGCACAAAATGTTGGTTTTAGATCTAAACAAACAAAAACCCAGGCCTGGTTTGAAGCTCCACATACACCCAAAGAGGAGATTTATGGTTTTGAACTGATCCCTACACCTTGACACCTATCCCCACATCCCAGTTGATCCTAAACGCTAACATGAGGCATGCTGGACAGAGGGACTGGGCAGGAATACAATCCCATCTGAAAAGAATGCCCATGTGCAAAAACACCTTGCAGGGAGAGCAAGATGGCCTAATGTTCGTGCAGGGATGCGGTCACCAAGACTGCGCGTGATTTCTCGGACTCCTCTCTCAGGGACCCCGGGCGGTACAGTAAACAGAAAATAAAGTTACTTTAAAAGTAACAGTTACTGAAGCATCATTAAAAATGCATTGAATGTATTTATACAAGGGCACATGTATGAGAAACTACACATGTTGGTCTACTGTCTGGTCTAAATTGACTTTGTTATTTGTACTTTCGGGGTGAAAATGGGCAGCACATTTTCCAGGTGGCTGTTCACAGCCCTGGAGCCACCAGCTGCCACAGCGAGGCTGGGGTGCAGTGGCGTGGGCCGCTCACCTTGTCGTCCTGTGAATCCGGCTGGAGCAGGCTGTGTTGCTGGATGGCCATGGGCGGGGGAAGAGGCACGGCGTCGGCCCCCTCCTCCCCTTCCTCCTCCCCGCAGCTCTGCATGCCGGATGATGAGGACTTCGAGAGCGTGCCACTGCTCAGGCCCTCATTCCGGCCTCTCTGAAATCAAACCAATGTTTGCTCATTATATGCTAGGCCCGACTGTCAAGGTCAGATCACAGAGAGGAACCCTAAGGGGTTAACTGGGAAAGTATAGCTGGGACAGGAATGGAGAGGACAGAAATCAAGCAAGCTCTTTCCACCCGATAGTAACTGCTCATCCCCTTCCTGCAATCCAGCTACTTCACTTGCCGACTTGGATGACAGAAGGGCTGGCGCACGTGTCTTCTGAAGGGGTCTCTGCCAGCATTACCCGTTAGGCTTTGAACACCTATCATCTTCAACCCCCAACCCCCCACCCCGGATCAGTTCAAAACTCTGAACCGTTAGTAATTCTCAGGTTGTTTCAGTTCCTCTGGTCTGCTTTAATTTTTGGTTCCTTGCTAGAATAAAATTCACTGAAATTATAATGGCATAAGGAACAATATAACTCTAAATGCACCAGGAGAATCTGAATTTAGTCTCACCTCAATTTTACTCTGCTTTCACTTTTAGAAAAATTGTCAGTTTTATTTCACTAAGAGGACACAGATGTAGAAAACAGATGAGGACATAATAAACCACATACTCTAGTGAAAACCCAGGGCAAAATATGCCCAGGAAAAAAGCAGCAGAAAACCCATGTCTGCAAAATAAATTAAACGATACAAATCTTATCCATTCTGTCTGCCTTTTTCTTTTTGAGGGAGCTGGGCGGGGCTGGGGGGGTGGTCTCAGTTAAAAACTCTGAGGGTCCCTCACTGACACCACCAGCCTGACAGAGCCAGCCTGGGGATCATGAAGGGATTCTGTTCCTTGCAGTATCATTTAAAGCTCCCCAACCCCAAACAAAAAGAAACTTAAAAAAATTCCTGGCTGACCGATAGACATTTATCTTTAATGACATGGAAATAATGAAGCGTTTATTGGTTAGCAAACTGAATTCACTGGGTGCTTTCCACTGAGGACAGACAGGAGTATGAGTATGGGGGGGGGGGGGGGGAGGAACGCACACACTCCTCCAGTCCTTCCATGTCTGAAGTTGGTGTTTGCCTGCACAGGGCCACGCCATGGTTTAGGGACTGCTTAGACCTGCAGCATCGAATGGCATCCCCCGCTTGTCTGTGGCACGTGAACAGAAGGGCTAGGCAGCACAGCGCCCCGTTCCTTCTAGCAGGCCTGGGGGTGCCCATACCTGGGGGGCTGAGGGGGGGGGAGGCACGGAGGCCCACTCTCCTCCGAGCTCTTTCTCAGAAGCCACCACGGGTCCTGCCCGTGTTAACGCGGAGCTGTTATGGGGACAGCTTGTCCCCACCGATCCCAACGGTCTGCTGACAAGGGATTTAAGGAGCAGACAGTCCCAGGGACCTAGGGAAACGGAACCAAAGTAGTGTGTTCACGAGAGGCAGCTATTCCTACGACCGCAGGGGAAACCGGCGGGCCCGGTGGGTGGCCCTGCCTGGTGAACGGGCTCCAGCCGAGCGGGGCTCTGACCTCTTCGACGGTCTCATCCTGCGGGGTGGCCGCGCTGTCGTCCGAGTCCTTCTGCGAGCCGGCGTCGGCGCTCTTGCGGACCTCCCTGCTCTTCTTGTGCTTGTGCGCCAGCTTCTTGACGTGCCCATCGGCCTTCCCGCTGCTCAGCCGCCGCACCGGGCTCGTCAGCCACTTGCGCAGCGTGTTTCCGGGCCGCTTGGGCCCCGGGGAGCTCTGGGCCCCCATCATGTGGGGCTGCAGAGAAGCCACCGAGGCCGGCGGGCTGGCGTCGTTACTGGAGACGGACAGCGAGTCTGGAGGACAAGAGAGACACAGCAGGTTTGACTGAACGGCCCACAAAGAATCCTCCCAACGTCGCCGACAGGCTGTGGCGGCAGAGCCGGGCTGCGTGTGGCGTGCAGGGGGCGCCCAGCTGTGGCTGCCCACGCGCCACCTGCAGGGTGGACCTGTTGGAGGCCGAGGTCCATCTCTCACGCACACACCTTTCAAAGCGGGCCCAAACCTGAGCTGTTCCCAGTGATACTCTTCTCAAGAGGTACTGTTCCCTCCCAAAACCGCAAGTTACCAATGCTGAAGGCCAGTGTCATCACCACAGACTGCAAAGGTCATCATCACTTAAAATATCACCGGGCTCAGAAGACAGAATTTTAAAATTATTTTCATCCACTTTCTTGGTAAACAAAAGCTATGAAAGAAGATTTTAAAGGAAATTAAAAATGAATCCTGACAAAGGAATGTGTTCGTTTGACTGAACACAAGTACAACTCCGTGTCAATCTGTGCGTGCACGCACCCAAGTCTGTACGGATTTGACCTGGTCAGACTTTGGGACAAATGACACCCATCTGGGAAGGTGTGTCAAGAGCAAAGTCAGCGGCTGTGGAAGGGGTAAAGCCTGGCTGGTCTGGGGGAGAGCCAGCCTGTGGCCAGACTCTTGAGCTACGCGGCTGTCCGTATCTCTGTGCTCAACCTTGAGGTGACTTCACGTCGAAATACCAGCAGCAATTAACAAAAACAACAACACATTTTTAAAAGAAATGTGAGGGGAAGCCTTCCTCAAATAACCAAAATGCTTTACAGAAAATATATCTAAATGAATCTTCTCACTGGATCTCAAAAATCTAGTCAACCCTGAAGTGATGATTTTTCAGGAGGAAAAAAGATATAAAAAAGCTTAGGAAACAGTGGCGCTCACCAAATCCATGCAGTTATGAGGCATTACTTCACAAACGGAAAACCGGTGACCCTGGACACTGCGCTTGGCCTTTTCCTGAGTACTTGACTCTAGGGTGTCACCCCCGTGGAATGGAATAAAACGTTTTACACTTTAAGAAGTGGAATGAGGAAGAAGATCATCCACTATGCTTGTTATTTTCTTAAATCTTTTGAAGCCTTAAAAATATATTAAAACTAATCTTGGAGAAGATCCTATCGTACGGACACCTGTATTTGCTTTATTTACCTCTGTGCCACTGGAGACCATCATGCGCTGCAGTTACAAAGCAGGAGCGCTAATCCCTCCCAATCCTGTGATTATACGCAAGAGAGTCCACAGCAGTTTCCCACTCATGCTCCAGATGCTGGGACGAGACAGCGGATCCCTGTCCAACTGCCGTCCCATTCCTGCCCTGGACTAAGCCTTGCACGGGTAGAGAGTATAATCTTCCATAAACAGCAGGATCACTCATTCTTAAAAATCTAGATTTTCTCAGAGCCAGACTTTGGTTTCAAAACCAATCAATACAGATACAGTATTTTGTTGAAGAGTAAAAAACTTTTTGGTCTGTGTGTATATACATACATAAATGTATGTGTATATGTATTTATTCATTTCTTTCTATCTTTAGTTTTAACTTTAAGATGAGAGTCACTACCACGCTTCCCTATCACTCCCCTTTTCCTCAGGTACTGTCTAGAGGAGAAGCAGGAGAGCACAGACCACTGAGGTGGTAACATGCGCACTCTAAGTACTTCCCAGAAACCTTCTCAGGTGCTGATTTAGGATAAAGGGCAAAGAGGGAAACAGTGCCCGGGAACTCTTGTGGAAGGACAGTAAGAAAGACAAAAAGAAGAGGAAGGTCTGGATAATCTACACACCAAATGATAATTAATTAATTAATTTTTAAAGATTTATTTCAGATAGAACATGAGCGGGAGAGGCTGAATCTCAAGCAGACTCTGAGCTGAGCACAGAGCCCAACCTGGGGCTCAATCCCATGACCTTGAGATCAAGACCTGAGCTGAAACCAAGAGCTGGCTGCTTAACTGACTGAGCCACTCAGGCGTCCCAATAATTTATTTAATTGAAGTTTTTTTTTTTTTTTAAAGTTCCAACTATTAGCAAGAATCTGTGCTAGCCATAGCAGGTGACATTTTTCAGTCATTTACTGTGCTGGGACTCGGAGCCAAGCCCTGTACCTGCCACTGAACGGAGAGGAATAAAACCTTCCTTCGCCCATGGGATCCACCATGCAGTGTTTTCTAGGACCACATAACTATTATGCCAGGCTATGACACATGATGTAAGTGAGTACCAACTCTGTTGGGAGGTTGAGAAGAAGGGGAATCGAGTGGAAGGATCACGGAAGGCTTCGTGAAGGAGGCAGCACTGAAGCTGGCCTTCGAATGAGCTGAGCTTGAATAACCCATGTAACCAAATCATGAGAACATCAGCTCCATGAGGGCAGGGGCCTCATCTGCTTTGTTACCTGCGGTACTCCCCAGGCCTGCCACGGTGCCTGCCACACGGTAGGCACCTATTATCTATCAAACGGAAACATCAGAAATCCCCAGCCTCAAGAAGAAGAGCCAGCTCAATCACTGCCCATATCTGTAGGACAATCTTGTCTTCGATGTACGTTCGTCCAGCTGGATAATGGCACCAGACAAAGGACTGTGGAGGTGGTGCACAGCTGGAGGCCGGACACATCCTGGGCTGGCCAACCTCTGATGAGCTGTCACCGACGGAGCCCACTGTGCCTTGTGTGAGCCGAGGGGGGGCAGGAAAGAGACTGAGGCTCACTTACTGTAATACAACCCAATCAATGCCAGGTCTTCACATTCCTAAGCAGAATACTCACACATTATGAGTAATGGGGAGCACCACCTGAGCCCACGAACGAACCTCACCTGTGTTCCGTACCTAAAAGTGAGAATTTGAGGGACTGTGGCACAGGAGAGCACATCACGTGAATCCTAAGTGAGATGGGGACACCCACTGGAATTCTGACAGGCTCTGTCCACCAAAGCCGCAGGGCCACTGGGAAGTGGACGAGAGCATGGTGGGCGGGAACGCGGGGCAGTCCCCCGAAGCATAAGGACATCTCCTCCGGTCAGCAGACCCAGCATGCCCTCAGGAGGCATCAATAACATTTTGTGGGAGCCGGCTGGCTTTACAAGGATCACTCCCCCAGGGCATTTTAGCCTTGCCTGGAGAGGAGCTAGTGGTTGTAAAAATGGCTCAAGAACAACGGGAGATGTCATTTTCTCTGTGGGCTCAGCTGCATTGGGTTTGGTTCTTTGCATTTTGGGAAGTAGGTTCAAAAGAGAGTTCCTCCTCACCTGGCAGATCAGGCATGATAAACATGGCCTGGACGTTCCCTCCCAGACCCAGGAAGGAGGCAGAGCTGCCCAAGGCCAGAGCTCACCTGTGATGAATGCTGTTCTGAAAGGGAGAGCAGTTCTCTTCCTGAGCTGCTGTTTATCAAACCACTTAATGACATTGTTTCACTTTACTGGAATGTTTAGGACTTAAAAAAATCTAGCAGCTATTACAAACTAAGAAGAAAATTTTACTGAATTTTAAGTGCATTGTTTTAGATGTTTTAAGTAATCTCAACACCCAGTGTGGGGCTTGACCTCATGACCCAGAGATCAAGAGTCGCATGTTCTACTGATTGAGCCAGCCAGGCGCCCCTATTCAATGTCGTTGAATTTTAAATTTTACCTGGGAAAACAATGTCATTTCAGAAGTCTGTAAAGGTAGAGGGAAACTTTCTTCATCTGTCTCTAGGATTAGCAGATACTTTATCTAGTGCAGGTCTGATACATTATCTTTCCATTTCGTCTTTAATAGTAATGCTCAATTCTTCACCTGTTTGACACCCTCCAAGAAAAACAACAAATTGTTGTGTTTTTTTTTTATAATACATAAACGTTTTTACCCAAATCTATGGATTCTAATAGACCATTTTATGCTCTTCACTGGATTGTGACATAATGCATAAATCCGAAATTTAAAAAGTTAAAAATTATTTAAACTTAATATACTTATTAATAGGATGAAATAAAGGGCCTATTTTTTTAGTTAAGTGAAGAAGAGACTTGAACCACTCGACCAACCGCTCTGCTGCAAATTTGAAAGTAAACATGTCCTAACGGTACCTAGTGGAACTAAGGTCTTTAATGCTATTGGGCACGAGGTGAGCATAAGTCACAAAACAAACACAGGGCTTAGAAGGTCTCCTTGGGAAGACCTTAAATTACTGGTCCGCACACAGGTGCCTTTCCCAGAAGAGTTCCCGGTGGCTGTGATGTGCTGAGTCGGCAGTGTCCTGCCCAGGTACAAACACTGCGCAGGCAGGCCCCCTCCTCTCAAACTTCACCTTTGTGCTTGGATTAGACTGCGCATGGCTCAGGCCAGTAACAAGAGTAACCCCCAGATGGAGGGCCCTATGGCCCCAGCTCTGTATAACCATTTCATGCCAGTACTTTCCCAGCTGGGTAACTGTCAAGGCAGGAAGCCAACCGTGACCTTAGACTCCAGGCTTCACGTGGGCAGGCACTGGGTCTGGTTTGTTCACAACTACGTGCCCAGCTGCCAACAGGATGTCTGGCACATCCTCAGAGCTTAGTAAGTAAGTATACGCTGAGTAAATGACAAATGCATAAGTGAGCAAGTCGATTACCAATGACGGGCTAGCTCACCGACTAAGCATATTGCCTGGTAACTTAAGTTGACCACAGTGAATGGTCATATCCTGACTGGGTGGTATATACATCAGTTGTAAGGGGAGCTCCAAGTAACATCTAATCTTAGCCAAGTTCACCAGCTTGTAAATCACTTACTTACAAGATGGTAATTCAGAGTGGACTGAGGCTATTCTTGTAATGACCTGCCCTATGTGACGATTTCTTGCAAGGCAGAGGCAGGCCCAGGAGCCACTGGTGAGGGTACTGTGCACGTGAACAGCACCCATCATGCATGGTGGGGGCCAGGGGACAGAAAGAGGGTTCAGGACCGAACCAACCTGAGAAGTAGGATGGAAACTCATTTGTCACTCAGAGAAACTGCA